TTTAGAATGCAAATATTTCTTACATGATACAATGCAAACTCTACTATAAAAGGAGAACTTCTCTACTTTGATCACCATTGTATCCAGGCATCTTAAAATATTTGCTAAAGACCGAACAGACAAGTGGTAGAAAGTGATTAGGAAAGTACAAATGACCAACAGGAGGATCCAGGTTGGGAAGTCCTGGGAGGCACCTGTGCCAAGCCCTGTGACCACCTCTGGAAAGTAGAAGGCAGGAAAAATCTGTAATAATAAAAGCGTAATGTTCTCGTTAGACCAGACAGCCAAAACATCCTTTCCGATGGAGCCGGGGCTGCAAGGGCTGAGCCCCTTGCATAAATTTTGTGCATCAGGCCGCTAGTTAAGAGATAAGTTGGACAAAAGAAGGGGGGGGGGGGATAAATAAGAGCCTAAAGGAAAAGAAAGGAAGCTCTCTCCTTTGAAGTCCGAGGCACTGCTTTACTTGCTGGGGAAATACAAATATACTGCTAGCTTAAACTAAACGTATCCCATCCAGCTGATACTGGCTCAACTGCATCAGATTCTCACAACTATCACCACAGCACTTGTCAAGTATAACCTGTAAAGGCAGGCTCTGACTTTTTTTCTGGACTCAACCTTCTCTTACCTCTAAGGACCCAGCAGTCTTTTTTCCTGAATAAATACCAGAACCCCAGGCCTATGGCAATGTACTTTGATAAATTTTTCATCTTTTTTGGGTTAGAAATTGCATTATCACAACACAATAATCAGCTGACTAAAATATAATTTAAATGGCACAAAGTTCACTCTAAGCTCCTGGAAGGCAGGGTGAGATTTTTTTACATCTTTTTTTCCTCACAGTACAGACATATGCTCCAAATTGATTGTCCCAGTACTCTGTGACCAGAGATCAAGGTAAGGATTACAGCAAATAAAGATAAAATAAATGACAGATAGGGCAGCAATTTCTTCTCAGGGAACTATCTTAATTACATTTAAAATCTATGATATAGATTTCTATTTCCTCTGTATGTTTAATAACAAAAACACCACTTTACCTAGATTCCATAGCATTTCGTAAAATGGGAAAATTTTCTATAAAATGAAGTGTAGGATGGCAGGAATGATAACTTAATGTTAGGTTAACATTAAAATATAAAGAGCTTTCACAAATTAATTTTAGAACTTAATTGAAAGACAAAGTTCAGTATTAATTACACCACTTTAGGAGGAAAAATTGATTTGTGTGTGTGGGGGCGGGTCTTTTCCTTTTTTGAAAATTATGTATACCAGGTTATTAATACAAAGGCAAGAAAAATCTTACAACTTTTTGCCTTAGTTGTTTTATTAGAGAACATAGTTTTCCAAATAACATCTCTTAGAAATAAGGCTAAAATTGGTATAGTCTACTACATATAGTATCTAAATACACAACAGTATCTTTCTAAATCAGCTCTATCATTTATAAGATACCTATTTAATAGTATACATTTAGAATAAAGGAATTAGAATCTTGGTGTAATTTCAATCTACTCTGAAGTACATATATTTAAATTGAACACCTTTCATTCTTTAACAGATATATATCGTTTTCATATCAATGCTGTTCTTAACTTAGATTTGGAAATAAATGTCTTATATCCCTAAAGGTCCACTAAAATTCAATTATCAAAGTTCTTGTAACAGTTATATTATTAGTATATTTTAAAAGTCATATCACTATACTCAAGATTATATGGGGTTGCTTTCAATCCTAACTACATGTACTAAATTATTTTATATATGAAATAAGTGTTTGGTATTTTAAAAGAAAATCTTTAAAATATCTCAATTGAAAATAATAAAAAAGAATGAAATGAGTAGTTTCATTAAAGAAATAAAAACAAAAAAACTAATATATATATCTACGTGTGTGTGTGCGCGCATGTATTTAATATATAAAAATAAACCTACAAAACAAATCTATAAAAGGATATTCTACCTCACAATAAGCAAAGCTATACAAATTTTTAAAAGATTTATGCTTCACTTTTTGAAGAGGCAAGGATGCATTGCAACAATGGAGGAATTAAAACAAACAATTGCAGAAGTAATCTTATTGGAGGGAAATCTAATAATATGTATCAAAGTTTAAAATGTATACATCCTTCCCCTAAATTTTTGAGAAATTACACTAAAAAGATCATAGGACAAGTTCATCAAGCTAGAAATACAAGATATTTGTAATAATGAAAAATAAGAAATGGCCTACATGTCCATCCAAATGAAAAATTTAAAATAGCTATGGTATATAAAAAAAACATATCAAAGATCTTTTTCCACTATTGAGTGAAACAAGCAGATTACACCGAAACTACATGGTATGATCACATTATAGTAGAAAAAGCAACAAAAACAGTATGTTCTAGTGTAAGTTTAGAAGAAAATAAGAAAAGTTAAATTATTTAAATAGTAGTTATCAATTTAACTTCAATTTTTCAAGTTACTTTTGCCTTTTTGTTTTTGTTATTAATCCTCACCTGAGGATGCTTTTCCATTGATTTTTAGAGAGTGGAAGGGAAAGACAGAGAGAGGAAAATATCAATGTGAGAGACACACATTGATTGGTTGCCTCCTGCACTGGAGCCAGGGATCGAGCCTGCAACCGAGGTATGTTTGGTAACTTGACTGTAATCGAACCCAAGGCCCTCAGTCCATGGGCCAACACTATACACTGAGCCAGACTGGCTAGGGTTCTTTTGCACCCCCTACCACCCCCCCCTTTTTTTTTAAGTAGAATGACTAACTGTAAAGAATAAACAATACACCAGCCAGGCAGTCAGTCAGTTTGGTATTTGAGAAAAAAACTGGGACTAGACAAACTTCACATGACTAAGAGTGATCTTTTCTTGGCCTGAACAGGGATAAATAATGTCTCATTTATATCCATCTGCCTTTCCACACATTACCCCAATCAAAGTGCACATATCAAATGCCTACTTTATTTTGCAGGATATCATTATTGACAAATTACCACTCTAGGATCCTGATATTGCAAAACAAACAACATTTAATCTAGTTTCAACTGTTCACTGTGTGATCAGGCTATTTCAAGTCTAAAACTACTTCATTTAAATATTTCTTCCCTTTTAAAAAATCCTCACAGAACTACTGAGAAATTTTAATAGACAGCAACAACTATTCCCTGCTTTAAATATAGACTAGAGAAATCACATAAAAAATCCTATATAATAAAAGCCTAATATGCTAAGTATCAGGTTGGCCATTCAACTAATCAAAGCGTAATATGGTAATGATATGCTAAAGCCACTCAACCGCTTGTTATGATGTGCACTGATCACCAGGGGGCAGATGTTCAGACTAGTAGGTTAGCTTGCTGCTGAGGTCTGGCCTATCAGGACTGAGCAAGATGGGCCAGACATGCCCTGGAGCCCTCCCTGCAATCCCTCCCTGGCTGACCAACCTCCCATGTCCCTCCCCAACCCCCATCATGCACCAATGGGGTCCCTTGGCCTGGCCTGGGCCCTCTTGCAATCCAGGCTGAGGGATTCCCGCCACAAGTGTACAAATTTCATGCACCAGGCCTCTAATAGCATTATAACCTTGTGGCATCTCAATTTAATTTCATTCTATGTATCTGAACAAAGAAAAAGATAACTGAGGACACAGCAACTTTCTTTATCTTAACACAAGGTGCCAGTGTATATATAACAAACTGTGAACAACAGAAGCTCTGATACCAGAAACACGGTCTTTACAATGCCAAAGAGCAAAACATCTGGTTAGCTTTTAAACGAAATGGGCTGCTCTGCCCTCCACGTCAACCACCAAGCAACAGGCCCTTGATGTCTTTCCCATTCATTACCGATGTAGTTCTCAACATTTTCACTAGTTCCATGATCATTCCTTCTCCCCTCCCCCATCCTTTCATGTAACTCTGTCCATCTATCAGGTCACAGATACAATTAGCAAACTGATGTCACACAAGTTTCCTTTTAGTTCTGAATTTTTAAAAAAAGTTATGTAATTTTATTTTCTAATTTTAATATTTTTCCAGTGGAATGGTTTTCAAAAACATTTAAACCTTTAATAGCTGACCCAGTGTCAAATGCTATATTTAGACATTTCTAAACTAAACTAAAGCTTATTTTAAACTAATACTTTCATATTATTGAATAAATTGCTAAGCATCCCAAATTAAAGAAGTCATTAAAAATGTGATACAGTCTAGTGTTTATTTTATGTTATGGCAGGTACACTTGATTTTCAAAAATTTAAAACATATAAAAAGTGGTTAGGGACTAACATTTGTATCAACAGTTAGTGTTTAAGATTATTTATTATACAGCAGGGTACAATGGTAGTGCTAATGCCAATAGGGCACCATGGGAATTAGTCTAAAAATTATCACTAGGCTTTATACAAGCAACAACATGTGTTGCTATTTTAGAATTTTAGGACATAGTCTGCTTCTAATGCTAAGCAGTCCTTTACCATTTTTAATGTTATACAGTGTTATAGTATTTAGTTTGGCAAATGTTTCAAAATAAAGTAGGAATGTATTCATAACATCACAGAAATGCACATCCAGTTTTGTTTTCAATAAGAACCATAGGTACAGATCAGAACTCTTCCCTATATGAAATAATTTACACACAGATGAATGCTATATCACTATCTAAAATAATCACTAAATACAATTCTTTTCCTGAAATAAACAAGCAAAGGTTTTTTTCATTATCAAATATCAAAAACATAGAGATAATGCATAGTTTTCAAACAAATGATACTCTAAAATTATAGGAATTTCTGTGAATTCAGTGAATGTGCAACCTAAATCAACCAAGTATATTATAGTACAACTATATTAAGAAACCAATGATCAGAAAATACAACCATATGAAAAAAATTTATAATCCACAAAACTGTTTTTCAGGCCTTAAGGTAAAATAGCTCCACAGTTTACAGGTAAAACCCAGGCAACAAAAATGCGTGCTTGTCTTCAATAAGCAGATATTTTATGCAGAAGATGTAACACTTTGCTTGTAGACAGCATGGTATGCATTTCTCAGCAAGACATAAGGAAAACAAGATTCCAAAAGATCCATTGTCAGGAATGGGGATTCCTGCACAATCTGAAAAATTCCAAAATGCATTAGAATTCTAATTATTTATTAAGTGAACATTTACTGACAACTAATAACCATAATTTTACATTGTTACATTGTTCTCACTAGAAATAGACACAACTTATTTTCCCTTTACTTTAAAAACTGAAAGGTAAACCGAAGGACTTAGATGCATGCATATAAGCAAAACCAATTAACGAAAAACTCTGGGGAGGGAGGGCATTTATGGGAGTAGGGAGTGGGGGGGGGGGGAGCAATGGTAAGATATGTACACATATAATACCTTAATAAAAAAAAAGAAAAAGAAAAAGAAAAGGAAGGTAAATGTGCCACAGTGAATGCTCTCAGAAATCAGTTAACCAATGGGAACATACTACGCACTTTCATAGCCTTCAGCAATATCTCTATACTATCTAATAAAAGGGTAATATGCAAATTAACCATCACTCCATCACAAAGATGGTGGCACCTATAGCCACAAGTTGGTGGTGACCAGTCCTCTCAGCTCCGTTGTGTCCCCCAGTCACGGGGGGATGGCCCTTGAGAGCGGGCAGCTTGAGTGGCCTGGTGGAATACTTGCTTAGTCACCACAGCAACAAGGCAAGCATTCAGCACCTGGCGTGAAGAGCCTCTGGGCAGCAGGCGCAGAGTGGCCAGGCCACATAGAGCACCACTGACACACAGATTCATGCGCAGGGCTACAAGTATATATATAAAAGGCTAAAATGCAAGGTCTCCCCTCGGGAGTTCCCCCGGAGGCCAGGAATTCGATTGATTGCTATGACATGCGCTATGACCAGGGGGTGGCACAGAATGCAGGAAGGCCCCAGCCGGCAGCTGAAAGATCCTGATCGGCCCTAATCACTGGCCAGGCCTAGAGATCCTACCTGTGCACAAATTTTGTTTACCGGGTCTCTAATGTTAGACATAAAAGAGAATTCCAACATTTAAAATGGCCATATTTTGAGGTCTAACTAGAGACCAAGACAAGGCTACAAAGCAATTAAACATCAAATCAACTATAATTAAGTGGTGAAAAGCTTTAAATTCTAGAGAAATTCAAAAGAGCAGAAAGATTAACATAGATCAGAGTAATCAGGAAAGTCTATCCATAAAAAGATTTGAGCTATGAGGTATGCTGAATCACTAAGACAGACACAGACCTCTGCCAGTGAAGGAAATTATTCTCAGTGAGAAAAGAGCTTGTTCATGGTAAAAACAAGCCCAGCTGGTCCATGGAAGTATTATAGAGTATTATAAAAAATTGTATTAAATGGGCAGAATGGCCGAGACTGGTTTGGCTCAATGGATAGAGCGTCCGCTTGGGGACTGAAAGGTCCCGGGTTCGATTCCGGTCAAGGGCATGTACCTTGGTTGCGGGCATATCCCCAGTAGGGGGTGTGCAAGAGGCAGCTGGTCTATGACTCTCTCTCTCTCATCGATGTTTCTAGCTCTCTATCTCTCTCCCTTCCTCTCTGTACAAAATCAATAAAATATATATATATTTTTAAAAATAATTTAAAAAAAAATAAATGGGCAGAATGGAGTCAGTCTTCAGAAAACTAGAAGAGTTAAAACTAATACACTAGGAAAATATAAGACCTAACAAGTTAAAAAACTACAAAGAATACCTTATAGGTAATGCTAATCTTTTGTTGTTTTCTGATATGATTATCATATTGTGAAATACAGGTGATTGTCATTCTTTTTAGCAATTTTAGAAAGTATGTGATTTGTGTGGAGTGAGCACCAGAAATCAAAAAAGCACCTCAGCTCTTACTGTTATTTAATCAGTAAAAGTCAAGAAAAGACTATCAAGAATGACTGGAACTTCTCTATTATCACTAAAAAATTAAAATGAGACTTACCATATCTAGCAGTAAATAAACAGATTCTCTATTTCTTGTTGTTGTTTTATCAGTCTCCTGGCCAATTTTCAGTAGACTGGAGGACGCAAGCTTAAAAGTTCACACATATTTAAATAAGTTTTTTTTTTAAATAAAATGCTCACCAGTTAACTTGTTATTTTCAGTATGCTTGAACTTACAACAAATTTCAATCACTCAGTTGCTTATATAATGAGCAACTAAATGACAACATAAACGTAGATCCTTACATTCAAGCAATAATTTAGAACTATCCTATATAATAAAAGGGCAATATGCAAATTTACCCTAATGGCAGAACAACCAGGAACAACCTGTCACTATGACATGCACTAACCACCAGGGAGCTAATGATCAATGCAGGAACTGCCCTCTGGTGGTCAGTGTGCTCCTACAAGGGGAGGTCCGCCAAGCCATAAGCCGGGGAGTGGGCCTAAGCCGGCAGGTAGACATCCCTGACGGGTCCGAGACTGTGAGAGAGTGCAGGTATGGCTGAAGAACCCTCCTCCCCCGAGTGCACAAATTTTCATGCACTGGGACCCCAGTTAAGGCATAAACAGATACAAAATGAACGTAATTGAATTTCTTATTGGTCTTTAAAACTGATATTTTTCAGGGAAAAAAAAATATTTTTTTATCTTTCTTATATTTGTATTAACCATATTAGTTCCCAAATAAGAAAATTTCATACTAAGTTTGAATTAATGGGACATTAGGACATTAAGTTTTAAATAAAAGAAATACAGGAAATTAAAATAAAATTTCAATTTCAATACTGGGTTTTTTTTAAACACATTATTTTCTCAAGTTAGTACTATAATTGCTTTAAATGTTTTAAAAATAAACTTTTCTAAGAAGCTAACATGACTTATAAGTTGAAAAGAAGCATTATTCTAGTGTTCATTATACCATGATTCATCTTTCCTTAAGTAAATATGGAAAAGCTATAATGATAAAGGAAAGAGAACTATACTATCATAGAAACTAGACTGTACTTCATCAGGCCAGAGTTAGCACAACTAATCTCTTTTGGAAGTAGTTTGTCACCATTAACAATCTTTCTCCAAATAAACAAATATAAGAAAAATATATCCTTTTACACAGAACATCTTTTCTTTGCCTCAATTTTCCTTTGTTTTGTTTTTCCTTTTTAAAACTCTAGACAAAATTCTAAGGTACTACAAACAGGTCATCCTGCAGAGTTCAAAAACTGGGAGACTTCTATGTCAAGGGGAAAAAATGCAAAACCAACTACTCCTTGATTTAATGCCCTGCCTTACCTATTCCTCCTACCTGTCCCCCAAATTAATTAAGAGAATTTACTCTCTTATATCTCATAGCTATTTTAAATTTTCTTTATAAAATGTCCTAAGTTTTGCTACTGATAATACATACCGCCAGGAATTCTTTAAGACGATCTTCAATGCTTCCTTTGTGAATTGTAAACAAAGCTGCAGCAATCTGGTTGATGGCTTTGGCCAAGCAATGAATGTTGTTGCAATGCCCTGAGAAAGTGCAAATATGTTTGTGGTTTCTATGTGACCCCCCAAATATCAAATAAGACAGAGAGCAGATCTTGAATGACTTCACAATCTACATAAACAGTGGCATGATTAAAAACAAGGCTGAGGCATAATTTGTCTTGCTCTCCTTTCACTTTCATGAAGACTAGTACTTTTAAAAATAACACAGCAAGTGAGCAACAAATGATTATGTTTGTATTAAACAAACAATTAAACCCTTAAAAGAAATCAGTTTTATAATGTCTTAGTCACTTAAAAAAAGAAATGCTTAGCTGCTTTACAAACATTTTCTTATCCAATCCTTAAAATAATCCTAAGAGTTAGATACTCCCTCCACCATCCATCCCTGCCACACATACATTCAAGCACCCATCAACTCACATAAACGCATTTCCTATATCAGAAAATTGGGATTTAGAAAAAGAAATACCGACTATTCAGGTTACACAGCTAGTAAGTGGCAGAACTTAACCCACATTTTATTGTAAAAAATATTACTTTAAAAGTGTCAGACATATCAAAACTCTTAACTTTTCCACTGACAAAATAACTTTAGACCACAATTACCTTCTATAGCAGGGCTATACTGAGACATCACATTACTGGCCAGTGTTGGCAAAGAAACTGCCACAAAGACCATGAGGAGACAGGCAATTTTATATTCTTCTTCTGGACTTATGTTTTCTAAGGGAGAAAATTTAAAAATAAAACCAAGGTATATTTAAAGAGTTGATCATCTAAATCAGAAAAGGCAAATTTAAAATTTTATATAAAGTATTTTACTTTGCCTCTACAGAACTGATCACAGTTTTGTTACAAGAAATACAGAATGAATATAAACAATATATGTTACTACTGGCTATTATCAATTCCCCAGGCATATTTCAAAGACTGCTAATATTTTTAAATTATAAGATTACAGGGCAAAAATATAATTAGGATAATTGAAACCCGAAATCTCCTTATTGAAAATTGATGATAAAATTATTTATAAGAAAATTCTATTTACTACAATTTAGAAAATTTGTCATCTTATAAAATCCTTAATATTTTTTTATCTAAAAGATATGAATGTTATTTGAAATGTACTATTTAAAAGGTATAAATGTGCAAAATGAACTAGATTTCCAACCTCTCCATCTTAGAAGACAGAAGGAACCAGTCATACATGAAAATAACTAGCATTGCCCAAGGCTTTTAAGATATAACCCTTTCAAAAATATTTACTGTATTGTGAACCAAAATTGTGGATTATCTTGTACCTGGTAACTTCTAGTCATCTTACTATTCACCACCACATATAACTAAGAGTTGAACATAAGAAAAGAGCCAGAATATGTTTTTAAAATTTGGTTATGAAAAATACAGCTGTGGCAAATTAAGTAATAGTAGTAATTATCCATGTGACTATAATTAACATACTGCATGAATTACAAATAAAGCAGTAGTAAATAAAAAAATAACTGATGAACTCAGTCATACAGGCAAAGGACTAAGGAAGGGCATTTTAGTACCAGAAACAGATGAAATGTTATCCACTTTGTAGACAAATCTAGAAATATCTAGAGCATTCTGGGTACTACATTTCACAGGGCTGGCCTCAAAATCTTTTAAATGTTTAATATTACATAATAATACACAGAATTTTATGGTTAGTAGCTCTAGTCCTATTTTTAAAAGGACACCCTTTTTCTAGGTATCATCTCCATTAGCATACAAATAAATATGAACATAAACCTTTATTTTCCCACCTCAAAAAAACTTTCCCTTGGTATTACTTCGCGTCCAGCTACTATAATTTTATTTCTTTGCTCTTCTTTAAAATAAAACTCTTTGAGAGTTTATCTCTAAATCCTTTTCTCATATTCTCTCTTAGGCCTTTGCTAATCAGCGCTTTGCCCTAGAAATTCCATTGACACTGCATCACCCATTAATTCTACACAGCTGATCATTCCTTTTCCACTTTCCTGGAAACTTCTGTTGCCTGGTTTTTCTTATCCTTTACTGTTTTTTTCCCCCAGTAGTTCCTCCTCTTTTCTCTGAGCTCCCAGGGCTCAGATAGCATCTACTCCATTAAATAGATTTAGTAATCTAATCCAGTTTTATGACTTACATAATCTAATCGGTATGATGACTGTGCTATAACTTAAGTTCCAAAATACAGAAATCTTTGTCTTTCTGTAACGTAGAGAAAGAGAGAGAGAGAGAGAGAGAGAGAGAGAGAGAGAGAGAGAGAGAGGGAGGGAGGGAGGGAGGGAGGGAGGGAGGGGGAGGGAGAGGGAGAGAGAAAGCTTGACATAAAGTAGGCATTTGAATAAACAGATTAAGGATCACATTTATATCTGTGTTGCTCTGGTAATTTTAACTAAGATTACTACCGTGTTTCCTCGAAAATAAGACCTAGCGCATGAAAAGATAAGACATCCCCTGAAAATAAGATCTAGCGCAACTTTGGGAGAAAAAATTAATATAAGACACTGTCTTATTTTCAGGGAAATAGGGTACACATTTACTAATGCATTTTACCTGATTTTTGTGAAGAAAGAGCTACAACAAGGGCAGGATCAATCTCACAAGGCAATCCAGCAGCTGATGATAACTCATATACATTCATTGCAACCTGATAAAGATATAAGAATTACAGAGTAAGAAATATTCTAACAAATTTCTGAGAAATCTCACTTCAGTAAGAAAAGATATTTTGTTTAAATTAGAGTCTGCCTACAAGAACACTAGAGAATCTTGAAAACTTGCTTGAAGCAGGAGGTATAGCAAAACTAAGCTACATTGAATAGATGATTTGGTACTTTGTGGTATGTTGCTGCTGGTTATAACTTCCTACTATTAGCCAAACAAAACTTGTATACTTTCTGTGGCAAATTCCAACAGAATCACTCTTTTTTTTTTAAAATATATTTTATTGATTTTTCACAGAGAGGAAGAGAGAGGGATAGAGTTAGAAACATCAATGCGAGAGAATCATCGATCAGCTGCCTCTTGCACACCCCCTACTGGGGATGTGCCCGCAACCAAGGTACATGCCCTTGACCGGAATCGAACCCAGGACCTTTCAGTCCGCAGGCCGACGCTCTAACCACTGAGCCAAACCAGTCCCGGCCAACAGAATCATTCTTAAGCTATTATTTTTCTTAGAAGCATGGATGTAAAATGTCAAGCTAAAATAGATGAATAAATGAACAAAAGTGAATCGAAAGTACTGAACTTATGTTTATATTCACATTTATTGAGTGAAAAATTATATCTCATCTATAATGTGATAAATTACTTACTAAAACAGCATTAGGTAATACTGATTTAAAATCTGATCAAGGAATCTCTAATGACTAAAATAATTTTTTTGGTATCATATATGGACTCCAAATACTTAAAATATTCTGGCTGTTCCACACCTATTAAAAACTACCTACATAATTGGTTACCTTTGATATTACAAAAAAGAAGTATAAGGTATGAAGTAAAACTTTATCTTAAAATACATAGAAATTTCCATGGATTAAGTTCTACATAAACACACAGGTTGTGATCCATTATTCCCTCTACCCACAAAAATTAACTCAAAATTAACTATAAAATTCTTAGAAGAAAACATAGGCATAAATCTTTATGACTTTGGGTTAGGCAATGATTTTTTAGATAGAAGCAATAATAGAAAAAAATAGATAAACTGGATTTCATCAAAATTAAAAACTTTTGTTCTTCAGAGGGCTCTATGAAGAAAATGAAATAAACCCACAGAAAAGATTTGCAAATCATGTAATCTATTAATGAACTTGTATCCAGAATGTATAAAGAACACTTACACCTCAAAATTAAAGACAAACAACCAATTTGAAAAATGAGCAAAAATATCTGAATAGACATTTCTCGAAAGAAGATATACAGTCAGTTCTTCTTACTGTAATTAAGAAGACAGATAGTAACAAGTACTGACGAGAATATAGAGAAAGTGAAACCACCACATAATGCTAGTGGAAATGCAAAATGATTAAAACCAAGTTGGCAGTTTTCCAAAAAGATATAAAATAAAAAATTAAAAAAAAACAGTTTCCATATGACACAGCAATTCCCCTCCTGGAATAATACCCAAGAGAAATGAAAACATATGTCCATACAAACACTTGTACATGAATCTTCTAAGTAGCATTATTTATAATAGCATAAAAGTGAAAACAATCCAAATGCTAATCAATTTAAATGAATGGATAAATAAACTATTGTATACAGCCAGGCAATGGAATATTATTTGGCAACGAAAAATGAAATAATGTCCAGCTGCGGCAGCTCAGTTGTTGAGTAGCAACCTATGAATCAGGAGGTCACGGTTTGATTTGATTCCCGGTCAGGACACATACTAAAAGTTTGCTTAAATTTAAGCACAATTATATCAGGTGCTAAGAGAATTGGATGGTTACACAGAATTAGTATTCTCATGACCTGCACACCAGGGTCTTCTCAAGGACTAATTTGTCTTTAATATTTTCTTAACATTTTTCTACAATGTTTCCACTTAAAAAAATAATTTTGGCTCAACAGTATGGTTTAGTGGTTGGGCATTGATCTATGAACTAAGGAGGTCATGGTTTGATTCCTGGTCTGGGCACATGCCTGGGTTGCAGGCTTGATCCCCAGTGTGGAGCGTGCAGGAAGCTGATCAATGATTGTCTCTCATCATTGATATTTCTCTCTCCCTCTCCCTTCCTTTCAGAAAATATATTTTTTTAAAAACACAAAGTAGGTAGATGTGAGAATGCACACAGATCTGGTTATCTCATAGGAAGTGCATGTGAGAGGGGTAGAGTTAAGAACAGAGTGGGAGCCGAAACCGGTTTGGCTCAGTGGATAGAGCGTCAGAATGAGGACTGAAAGGTCCCAGGTTCGATTCTGGTCAAGGGCATGTGTCTTGGTTGAAGGCATATCCCAGGTGGGGGGTGTGCAGGAGGCAGCTGGTCGATGTTTCTCTCTCATCGATGTTTCTTACTCTCTATCCTTCTCCCTTCCTCTATGTAAAAAATCAATAAAAAATATACTTTTTTAAAAAATAGAGTGGGAGAAAGAAGAACAAATGCTAGATAAGCTTTAAATTTGAGAAAAGACTCAAGTGTCATACAAGAGTTTAGAGAACCTTTTTTAATCTGTGTTTTTCAAAATATGTGCAACCGAAAACAACCATTCTAAGAAACATAAAAGCTTAAAAGACACAGGTATGAGCTGACATGTTACTTACTAGATGTGTCATCCTAATAAATCAGTGGTTGGACTTCACGATCAATACATTTTCAAAATAAAAATTGAAAAATTCACTTAAGGATACCAACCTCACATCTTATATTTATTAAGAACAAGATATTTTAAAAATTAAAATTTATATAGCCTACAATTAATATTCTAAGATGTTTTTAACATCAATTTAAAAAATTGACTGGATTTATCTTTATTTAAAACAAAACAACTCTTATTTTATTATCTCATCTTCCTTATTCAGCTCATGACCATGTATAAACAGTTATAAGTTTAAAGGAAAAATGATCAATACTGACCCATTTTTACACTGGTACAGATGATCAAGAAAGATTAACTTTCAAAATGCCTGCTTATTATTTTGGTGCTTAGCTTTCAAAGATGCATTTTCAAAGGCAAGCATGCTAACTAATAACTCTAAAATAGAAACTTTACTATACAATTGTAGATTTACTAAATTCTATTTCATATGTAACTGAAATATATTTCATTTTAGAAACTGTAAATCCAAATAAAAATTTTATTACCTTCATATCAGTTTCCCTTGGAATGTGGTCCTTGAAATCTTCAATTGAACTTACAAGAAAAGGAATGTGGTAGGACAAGACCTACACAGGACACCAAAAAAGAACACAGCATTATTTTTAAAAGACGATCTCTAGATTTATGAAATATTACCATTCAATTACTTCTAGTTTTCATAGAAATCATTTTCTTTATCTATTGTCATGTAATTTTCAGTACTAAGATACACAGAAATGAAATGCATGTATTCAATGCCAAACTGAACACAGGCAAATGGAAAATGCTTTAGTGAAAAGTTGAAAAGTATCTCAATATCCAGGCAAGTTATCCCCTTGAATTTCAATACCAAACAAAAAAAATTTAAGTATCTTTAATTTCTACATACTTTATTTTAGATGAATACAAGAACTGAAACTTGAATTATATCACTGCCTACTATAAATTTAAAGAGTAACTTTTAATTTCTGGGAAATTAAAAGGGATTATCTGAATATAGGATATGTACTTATAATGATTTCTTACATCTCTAAGTGCTTCTTGTGCCAATGAGCGAAAGGATAAAATTACACCAATTATTGTCATCCTCTTCAAGACACTGTCAACAGCTAAATGTGAAGGAAGGGGAGTAAAGAAGAACATGAATTAGATTCTTTCTTAACCTTGAAGAAAACTCTTAGTCATAAAATTCCCATGATAGAAGGCACAATTAAAAGCATTTTACTATAACAAATGATTAAAGAGGCAAATGTATTGAAAGCTGATATGAAAATTAACTATTGTTTACTGCAAATGGAATATATCCTTCAAACTGGTTTAGATAGGTCACCAGACTCTTGAAAAAAATCATATGTTGGAATTCTAACTCCCAAAGGTGATGGTATTAGAAGGTAGGACCTTTGGAAGGTGCTCAAGCCATGAGGTAGAATCCTAATGAATTCAATTAGTGCCTTTCCAAGAAGCAACAGAATGATATCCCTAACCCCTTACATCATGTGAAAATTCACTGAGAAATCTGCAACCCTGAAGATCCTCACATGACTGTGCTGGCACCATTATCTTGGACTTCCACAGCTGTGATAAATTTCTGTTGTTTATAAACTACTCAGTCTATAGTGTTTTGGTTTAGAAGTTCAAATGAGTAAGACATATCCCAAGGAACTCATATTAGAGCAATGGCTATGTGGGTCTTGACCAGGCAAGCAAAAGGTAGTGGGAGACAGGACAGAAAATGGACAGAAAAACCATCCAAATAATGGTTTCTGAACACTATGCTAAGTAGTTTATACTATCCTTCAAGCAATGTGTGGATTATTTAGGGTTTTCAAAAATATAAACAATGATATGAAAAGAAGTATGATTAAAAATGACTCTGAATGTCAGAGACAGGTTAGAAAGGGAAGACTGAATGCATATTAAGAAGCCATGACTGGCCCTGGCCAGTGAGGCTCAGTTGGTTGGAGCATCATCCTGTACACCAAAATGTCATCAGTTCCATCCCCGATCAGGGCATATGCCCAGTTGCAGGCTAGATCCCAGATTGGGGGGCAAATAGATCAATCTTCTCTCACATCGATGTTTCTCTCTCTCCCTTTGCCTTCCTCTCTCTCTAAAAATCAATTAAAAAAAAAAGAAAAAAAAAAAGCCATGACTGTAGTTCATGATAAAGCCTTAAACAAGAACCACAGGAGCAGATTTGGGATTTAAAAGGTGGAATCTGAAGTAGGAGTTAAAAGCTCGAACACCTATAGCAAGGAACATAAAATGATGAAGTAGACAAGGTGAAAGAATAGTGGGTGGGAAAGACTAGAAAAAAATTTCTAAAGACAATAACTGCAGATTAATTCCAGCCAATCACTGCCATGTGGAGAAATACTGCCCATTATTAAACTTGCTCAGGTCACATAATTAGAAAGCCAAAACTGAAAATTACAGACTGCCTTTCAATTCAGAGCTACTTTTTAATAAATAATATTGCCTTTTCTTTTTAAGGATGTTTGTTGACTGTGAAAATCAAGCTATTATAAAAGTACATCAACTTCTGGACATGGATAAAAAATAGCATGAAGGTAGAGGTCAGAGACAAAAGAGCAATCTGAAAAATAGTTCAACTGAAAAGGTAGCTTTCTCTGTTTCCCTGAATAAGGTACACTTAAACAGATTTTTTTTTTTCGAATTCCAAAAATATATTTAATAAATTATATTTAAAGATATATTTGATATATATGGGTATTAAAACAATTTATCTTTTGATTTTGGCCAATTACACAGGTCATGAATCACCTCTATTATAGACAATATTCAAGCAAACAGAATCTAGATAAAGGATGATGAATTTTATTTTGAAACCTATAAATTCTGGTTGGAATTTTAACATATTCTGTTGTTTCAATTCCACAAATCAGAGAATTAAACTATCAGTAAACAGGCATCGAATAGCGCAGTAGCTTAGTTGTTTCTAACCAGATGCTCTTTATTAGCAGAATATTAACTAGGGTGAAGGCTAGTTGGGTGTTCAAATGAGTATTATTAAATAGGCAAACATAAAAAATACAAAAAATGTTAAGTATAAACAAAAAAAGACTAGAAAATACAAGTACATAGTAAAACAAGAGATCAAATAGATATTTAATAATTTCTTGCTAAAAATGTATTCAGTCTCTTCTTCCTATAATGTTACCAAGTCAATTTTTTCTTTTATTTAATTTCATTTTTTAAGTATCAAACAGTAAACCTGACTTTTTCCCCCTTTCGGTATACAGGTCTAGAGAAAATAATTAACATGTATATTTGTGTTATCAACATCATCACCACTATGATGAACAGTTCCCAACCTAAAATAACCCCTCATTGCTTTCTATTTATAGTTCTTGTAACCACTGATCTATTTATTCTACAAGGCAAACTGCAGTGTAATTTTATGTAATTTCATGCTAAGTTTATATTTTAAAAGCAAGATAAGATAGCTTAATAAAATTTGACATAGTTGTAAAACATTTAAAAGAAAAATATCAAAGGCAAAGTAATTTAAAGCACATGAATGGATTATTTTTTTCAAATTTTCTTAAGGATTACTTTTTATTTGGGAAAATACACTTTCTGGTTTTCTCAAATGCAAAGACTTTTTTTTAGAATTTCACTAATTTTCTAATGTTGGGTAGTTTTAAATGAATCAAAAGAAGTATGACTTTAAAGTAATTTATAATTATAACTTTAAGTATAAAAAGCAAGTGAAAATAAAATTAATCCAAGTTCATCTAAAATAGTTATTGGGCTAAACATACTTTAAGATTCACTCTTATTTCGCAATATACCTCCCACAAAAGACTCAATGTCAACTGTCAAAAAGACATTAAAATGGATTTTTTAAAAAGGTATATACTCAGATTTTCATGTAATGAAATTTTTTTCTAGTCTTTCCCACTACTAGTTAGCAATAAAAAGGAACAAATTACTGACTCACTTAACAAAGATGGGTAAATCTCAAAAACATGCTAACATCAAACACAGAAAAAGTATGGCTTAGTTTATATAAAATTCTGGAATAGCATATTTAATCTGTAGTGATAGAAATCAGGTAAGTCCTCTGTATTGGGGGCTAGGATGATCACTGACTATACAGAGGAGACTGAGGTGGAGGGACTGTTTTACGTCTTGATTACAATAGTGACTACATAGATGAATGCGTTTGTCACAATCCATCACACAGTTCACTGAAGCATGTGTATCTTATTATATGTAAACTGTACCTTAATCAAATTGATTTTCAGAAAGTGACAGACTCAAAAGTTAATTCTCCTTTAATCTAAATTAATACAGATTTACTGTATTCAATTTAACAGGTTCATGAACAGTTAATATTCAAAGTATTTGATACATGGTACTAAGAATACAGTAAAAAAAAATTGTGAAACAGATATTTACAAAGATCTTTTGATTTAAAATTTTTCTAGTTCTCTTCATAAGCTAAAGAGTACTTAGTCATAATTTATTACTATATTTATATTTATGTTTACAAATTTTAAGCAAAAGCTAAATACTTTAGTCTTCTTAATGCTTCTAAAAAGTATCAGAAGTTACCCACATGATAATCTTTTAAAGAGTGCAGCCATCTGGTCTGGTTTGTCAAAGCTGGTCCTCATTTGTGTTAGCACATCAACATTCTCCACCACAAGTTTCTAAAAAAAAAAAAAAAAGGAAAAAGAAAGATCCCAGGTCAGGCATAGATCTCCTTGTGTTAATGAGATAAGAACATGTGGGAAATACAATTCAGGAAATTCAGATTCTCTATACCAGTGTTTCCCAGGCTTCTCTCATGATGACAATCACCTGGTGGAGTTGTAAAATACAGATTCCTGAATCCCAACTAGGAAGTGCTAACCTAGAATTTTTGGGAACATATAGGTAAAATTGTATACTAACTTAGTACTTCCTAGTTGGGATTCAGGAATCTGTATTTTAACAACTCTACCAGGTGATTCTCATCGTGAGAGAAGTTTGGGAAACACTGCTATATTTTTTTTGTTGTTTTAATAAAGGAATCTTAAAATTATTTACATAAGCTTAATGTTTTCTTGCGTTTGCAAATTCAGGAAGAGGAGTCCAGGAAAAAAGCCATAAAGATAAGTAGCAGGATAAAGGATTATCTTATCCTTAGACACAGAACAGCATCAATAATAAAAAGCAGACACAGAAGTGGATATAGAGAGCAATAAATTCCACCAAAACAACAACTGACCAAAGATAGCCTAGAGTTCATTGCTGGATATACAAAATCAGAAGGACAATAACTTGTTAGGATATGGTACCACTTCAAGGAGATTATAATAAACCAATATTTTCCAACACAAATTATCAAATGGAAGGGCCAACTATGTACCTTCTCTTTCAAAGACCATCGAGAGAAAAGGAAAGAGAATAGAAAAAAAAATAAGGGATATAAATAAGGAAAGGGAGTGAAGGATAACTATTTCAGAAAATCTCATTAAAGAACATTTTGCTTAAAAGAAACACTGGAAAGTAATTTGGTTTAAAATTTACAACTAAGACAAATGTAATTAATTTGAAAAATAATAGATAAATGTATTTGGAAAGCTTAGATGTATGTATTTACAATATGCAGAGATGAAGCCTGGATTTGGATATATGTAATTATAAATACATATATTCAGGCTTCACTCAGCAGGTCTAGCTGCAAAGATATAGCAAGCATACTGTTCAAGGGCCATAGCGGTTCTGGTACAAGCCAAGGGCTGATGACATCTGAGGGGAAAAAGAAAAACTATACAGAAAATCTATAAAACTCATTTTTCCTATACTCATATGCATTTGGTTTAGGTTTCTTGATATTACTTCAGATTATTTCTCTTTATGCTCCCCACCAAATGTTCTGCTTCAGTCACATTTATCTGCTAAATTCAAGTTCTATAGTCTCTGATTAGAATGCCTGCTCTTTCAGGGGCCAGTACCATGCTTGTCTCATTCTAAAACTTGATTCAACCAATATATGTTCAGACTAAATGCCCAACCCTGACACTGCTCATGCACCTTAAACAAATATCTCATCAGTGAATCTAAGACACCACTGAATTTTAAATTCACCATTACCTTATGTGCCACTAAGAAGAAAATAACCACTCTACTAATTAAACTTAAATGTTTTCTAATTATCTGACTATAAGATACACACAATTTCAGAAATATAGGATAATTGTGTTATAGAATTAATAAATTATACTATATATTTAATAGTAAAAATACTGTTATCATTTTTAAGCTCCTGTACGAGGCAATTTACAAACAATCTCAAATGAGGGAGAGGATATTCTAATTTTACAACAGAGAGAACTAAGGCTCAGAGAAGTTACATAACTTGACCAAAGTGGCAAAGATTTTAAGTGGCAAAATTGGAATCTGAATATAGGTATGTTTGATTTAAAAATCCATCCCTTTAAACACTAAAGAAATGGTTCCCAATCTTCAGTGTATATCAGAATGATCTAGAGAACTTTATTAACTAAAACAGATATTGCTGGGTCCCAGCAACACACGTTCTGATTCAGCAGGTATGAAATGGAACCAAAAATGGTGCATTTTAAAAAAGTGCCAAGGTAATGCTGCTGCTGATGAGCTGGGGAAAATTATTTTAAAGCCATTAACCTAAAGCATTTGTTAGCACATTACTCTATTTAATTCTCTAAATATTTAAAGCCATTGATAATATCCATGGTGAATGAACTGAACACTGGAAGTAATACTAGGAATTACCAACTAAATGGTTTATAAAAAGAACTAAGACAAATCACATGAAAGCAATCAAGAATACTAAAAAGAAAAAAAGGTTTTCTATAAAAAAAGAAAGGGCCTTTTGGGGGAATAAGGACACAAATGTAATACCTTAATCAATAAAGAAATTTTTTAAAAAAGTTAAAGTATTGACACAATTCATATTTCAATTTCCTACTTCATTTAGAAAAAAAAAAAAATCTACTAGGGCTCCGTGAAGTACTAAAAGAACTCATCTGTAAAATGCCAAAACAATTCTTTTGGCAAGGTTGGAAGAATAAATTGACTCGACGGGCACAACTCCAAATGCAACAGCCCAAGAATTTTAGTAGAAAGAAGACTGGCTGTTTTCTTCTCCAGAAATTAATAAACATGTTTTACCACAAGTACACATGCATAGTGTTGACTATGTCTGACACATGATTTATTCACAACCATTAAATATAAAGCACTCCTTTTTTATTGGCACACAACTTTACTGTTTGAAACAAAAAGGTCCTCAGCTGCAACAATTAAAGCCATCCATAAGATGAAGAAAATGTAGGCACGTAATATTTAGTTTTCAATTTAGAAAATAAAAGCTAGGAAATTATAGAATGATCTTTAAATATTTTAATTCCCTCAAAAACATTTTATGTACCTATTTCAAACAGATTAAATGCTATTCGAGTATATAAGTATGGGCTACAATGTCATCCGAGAGATATTGATAATATTAAGAAAAAAATCTAAATGTTCATATCCTTTAAGCTATTTTCAAAAATTTTCCTAAAGAAATGCTCAAATATGCCCTAGCCAGTTTGGCTCAGTGGACAAGAGTGTCGACCTGCGGACTGAAGGGTCCCAGGTTTGATTCCCGTCAAGGGCATGTACCTTGGTTGCGGGCACATTCCCAGTGGGAGGTGTGCAGGAGGCAGCTGACCGATGTTTCTCTCATCAATGTTTCTAGCTTTCTATCCCTCTCCCTTCCTCTCTGTAAAAAAAAAATTAAAAAAAAATCAATAATAAATATTTTTTTTAAATGCTCAAATAAGTATGTAAAGTAGTTTGGAAGTGCTGGTTAAATATAGAGAATTCTCTCTCTCAATCTCTCCAGCAATTTTGTCAGGAGACAACCCAGAACTGAAAGGCCCATAGCATGTCAGCCTGGTGGGTGGCCCTGCTGGAATATGCTGATGCTGCAGAAGTGGCACAAGTAGCAGAGGGTGGGTGGGCAGGTGTGCATCACTCACAACAAAAGTTTTAAACATGTGAACTGTGATTTTGTCAAAGGTAGTCTCTGCCTCTTTTTTTTTTTTTTTTTTAATGTATTTTATTGATTTTTTACAGAGAGGAAAAGAGAGTTAGAAACATCGATCAGCTGCCTCTTGCACACCCCCTACTGGGGATATGCCCGCAACCAGGGTACATGCCCTTGACCGGAATCGAACCTGGGACCTTTCAGTCCCCAAGCCGCGCTCTATCCATTGAGCCAAACCGGTTTCGGCTCAAGCTACTACCTTTAATGGCAAAGAATCACTAAAAAATGCTAACAATTCTGAAAGTACCTATATATACAGTTGAAATAGAAAATAATAGGCAAAAGTAAAATTACTGGGCCACAATTCTTCTATTATCTCATATTAAAAGGAACATAAAGTAGACTGAAAATTAGAAATTTATTACTTGAGAACAAAATAGAAGAAAGATAATGTATTTACAAGGGAATGAGTCTAATAAATGAGAAATATTGCTTATAAAAAAATGAAATTTGCATTGCAATGTTTGTATGTTTAAAAACATAGTATAAAGTCTGTGTATTTAAAACCCACATTATAAAGTATCTAAAAGCTGATTTCTATATAAGAATTGTAAAACAATCTTTTAAAAAATAACAATGAGAAAATAATGACATGATGAATACCAAAATAATATTTATTCAGTACTTATTGTGTGTCAGGCAGCATGCTAAGTATTCAAGCAATTGACATGTATTAATTAGCTCATATAATTAGTTCATATAATTGTATGTTTAAACTTTGCCCAAAGTCAAAGCGCACAATTAACAGGATGAATTCCAGGATAGCCAGACTTGAAAGCTTACATCTTTAACTACGGGGTAATATTGCCTCTTTTTTAGTCACACTGACTCTTGCCATCTATTTTATTCGCTCAGCAAAATAGTTATCAACCTTGCAAAAACTGAATTATCCTATAGGTTTGCTCAATTTTCAGTAAATCAGATTACTATTTATAAAACAGAACAAAACAAAGATGCTATTAAAAGACCATGCTAGGCCCCACTGGCGTGGCTCAATGGTTGAGTATTGACCTATGAACCAAGAGGTCACAGTTCAATTCCCAGTCAGGGCATATGCCCAGGTTTCGGGCTCGATTCCCAGTGTAGGGCATGTAGGAGGCAACCAATCACTGATGTTTCTCTCTCTCTGATGTTTTTCTCTCTCCCTCTCCTTTCCTCTCTGAAATCAATAAAAATATATTTTTAAAAAGTACTTCAAGACGTTAAAAAAAAAAAAAAAAAGACCATGCTAATGCTATAATTTCATTTACATACGAGAACTTTCATATCAGGTTAAAGAAATTAACATTCTAGGCTTGCTGCTCATTTTCTTGAAATGTTTTTTTTGGAATTTGTGTTTATAAGCTAAAATTAATAAAGACTACATTACCTTAAGTTCAGCAACTTGTGAAGAAATATGCCACATAAGGCTTTCACTTAGGAACTTCATACCATATGGGCCTAGCAGTTCTGATAATGACCTCATTTCTGAAAGGAAATGCAATTACTTTTATACTTTGACAAAGCAAATACTTTAAGAAAATAAACATTAACAAATTGAGACATTACAGTATAGAAGCAAATTACACCTGAGAAGTCTCTAGAGTAAAAAACAAACAAACAAAAAAACACAAACGCAAAGTAAGTCTGAAACATAATGTATGACTGTGTATATAATTGAATGAAAATAGTCATAACAGAATCAAAAGCCAAAAAGAATAAAGGTTTCTTCATTCTCTAAAACATGTGATTAAACAAGTATTATTCACCTGATATGTCAGAATATTCCTCTGCATTGAATGTTAATTCATTTTCTGTAGGTAAGTTCACAAATGCTTTCATTGCAGGGAAATAAGCTATATGACCATTGCTGACTTGTCTTAATAAAGTTTCCAAATACCTAAGAAGAAAAGTAAATTTATAACCAGGAGGAACTATTTAATTCAAAATGTATTATGCCATATATTCCTGAATATAATTTTAAGTTGGCTGATAATATGAATGAGAATTTTTCCATTAAAAAAAATAATTTTCCCAAGTTGTTCATTACAAGGAAACATTGTATCAATCCAAATTTTCAAATGTGTTCCTTACCAATTTGTGTATAAACTTGTAATGGTTGGCTCTCCATGACTGTCTAAATGTTGTGTTTGCTGAAGAAGAACATTATTAAATACTCTTGTAATATCTATTTGCACATAGTTTTCTATCGACTGCAGTACAGTCATATATGCTCTTACACTTGTTAAAAGCTCTGATGGTTTTGCAATTTCTTGTGTGGCTTGATTATACATAGTCATTCCAACAATTGACCTGGGTAAAGAAAAAACAACAACAACAATAAGAAGAAAAGAGTTCTGACTTTTGCATTTATAAATATAGGCCATTCAACCTACTAATCTTTAATATCAAATAAGCAATAAAATTTGAAATACAATTTGTTAAAAAAACCATGAAATTACTATCATCTTCCAAAGAAACAATCTAAACAAACAATGACTACCTAAAAACTACAATGAAATGATTTAAAAATTCTAAAGACATCAGTAATAAAATGATTTAAGGATAAATTCTTTGACATAATACATTATAGCAAGTACAGTGGACTATTTTTCATAGCTTGAATTCATTTGGCATTATGTGCCACTAGTTTTTTTTAAGTTTTATACATATCACCAGTAGCTTTAATATTTAACAACCCTACTATGCAGTTATTATTACCACCATTTCACAGATTAAAAAAAAACAAAAAACACCACACACACACACACACACACACACACACACACACACACACACACACACACACACACAAAGGCTCAGAACTGACCAAGGTCACTTTGTTTGAAATTGGTGGATGTAAGGTTTGGCACCATTTCTGTCTAACTTAGTGCTGCCTCTTAACAAAATGTGCTACAGTCAAAACAAGACAACAAACAGAAAATTTCATTGTTCTTTAATTACTTGTAGCACATAAACACACTTCAATTTAGTTTATATCCCGAGACACTGCATAAATCTAAAAAGAAGACAAATTTTGAAAATACTTTGTTTCCTACATGATCTTTTCCTACATTGGCCGCCCCTATTTCACCTTCATTAAAAACCACTAAGTATTAGATTTGTCAAGTTCTTAATCTGTATTTGTAAGGAAGAATAATAGACAAACCTCAATGCTATTAACAGTCCAAGGAGATTAACTCAAGATAAAAATGCTATCCTTGCAATATGGCCCCTAAGTCCTAAAATTGTGCTCAAGTGAAGTGTTCAACTAAAATCATCAACTAATCAAGCTATATGCAGTGGCATAAAAATCCTTTCTTAGGTCAACAAGTTTACAGTCTTGGTTTGATCTTGACCACTAAGGAGATAGATGTTTGGTAAAAAGAGTACCTACTTCTTCTCTGTGGATTAATAGACCAGACTACATATTTACAGAAGGAAAACATGGGAGCTGTAAACTGAATCCTACCTTTCACCCACCACTCTAGCCATCTTGGTAGTTAAGAATAATAAATACCAAAGGGCATAATTTCCCTTTGTCTTAAATACTAGAGGATTCTGAGTTTTACCATCAGGATGCCTGCATTACTAAAGCCAGCAAAAGACAGTCTTTGTTCCAGACCAAACCCTTCTCTAGTCAACTGATTACTTAACATTTAATTTAGAGTCCACGTATATATTCTCCTATTTGATTCTATAATCGTAGAATTCTCACCAACTATAGCTCTAAGCTTATGTTTCATTAGTACTCATAGTACTTAATACAATGTTAAACAAAAGGTACAAAGACTACTTGTTAATCACTACAAAATTTTGAAATATCTTTGGCCAAATTTTGTTTTATAAATTGCTTTAAGGCCTTTAAGACAAACTTATCCAATCAATCAATATTTTAATAAATTTGTAACTTTACAAAATGGATTAAGAAACAATATCAAGTTGAAAGATTTTTGACTTATGCATTATCATTTCAAGAAACATTAATATATAACCTATAAAACTATAATTAGAACTAAGTGCCTCAAGATTTTAGATCTATTGGCATAACAGCACACATCTGAATCCAGAATAGAATTGAATTCATCTAGTCCTGAGGTTTTTAAACATTTAAATTTGACCCCTTGTAAGGTATGTATCCAGCATCACAGCTCAGTACACACATGTGTACATACATAACTGAAAAGTGTCATGACACAGAATTTATACTTACTACATTCAATGCACTAATTTTTTTCTACTTCTTTCTTTCCTTTTCTTCTTCCTCTTCTTTCTTTAAATATTTATTACAGCCCTAACCAGTTTGGCTCAGTGGATAGAGCATTGGCCTGTGGACTCAAGGTTCCCAGGTTCGATTCTAGTCAAGGGCATATACTTTGGTTGCGGGCACATACCCAGTGGGGTGTGTACAGGAGGCAGCTGATGGATGTTTCGCTCTCATCGATGTTTCTAACTCTCTATTCTTCTCCCTTCCACTATGTAAAAAATCAATAAAATATATTAAAAATTACAGCCTTCTAATGTGATTTCATGACCCCACGGGATGCCACATGACAGTTGAAATATACTGATTAGCTCCAGTTTTCTCATTTTGCTTATAAGAAAACTAAGGCTCACTGAAATAAAATGGCTTGTCTAATGTTACAACTGGTTAATAACAGCAAGTATGGGACAAGAATCTGAGTAATTTACATAATTCCCAGTTCAGTATTTTCATACTTCCCAAATAATTATTCTACTAATTCTACTAATGCTTTTTCTCATAAAAGAAAATACTGTGCCGATATAAAGAATAAATATAACAAACTCATTAAATGAACAAACAAGCAAAAATAGTTAATGTTCTTTCTTACTTAGTAAAGCGGATTTCCAGGTGAGAAGTCAAATATTCTCGTGGGGTAAAGGTATGTTCCCAAACAACCATGTTTGGTACATAATTTATAGAGAAACACAACTCAGAAAGTGCAGTGTGCAATTTATCAAGGCTGAAAAAATATTAAATAACAGTAAACAAAATGTTCAACATTTTATCATAACAACACAAAATTAATTTTATAAACATGAGATCTTATTTGGGGATAATAATTATAGAATTCAATTTCTCTCTTAAACAAAGTTCAAAAATTTTTTAACCCAGAACAATTTTATGAAGATAAGCAACATTCATTTCTATCTTCAGATGATAATGACTTAATACACAAAAATGAGCTTATTCTGCATTCATAAAGATAATCATTTCGAATTTCTATTGTAATTTCTGTTGTGGAGGAAGTTGTCTACAAAATGACAAATAACTTGCTCAATGTAGGTAGCAAGAAATAAGAAATTTACTTTAAGCAAAAAAATATTCACCCATTATTGCCTACCTAAACTTCCTCTCCAGGTAAGCAAACAGCTCTAAAATGCTACCTATTCTGATATATCCATTTAAAATAATGATATCAGCCATACACACCATATGCCAAAATAAAGTCTCAAATATCTTATTTTAAATACAATGAAAATAAAAGTGCACCCCTAAATTTTTAGATAGATTCCTGGTGTTTAGTATTCTGTATTTAAAGACAAGACAATTATCATCTGTTTTCTTCAAAACTCCAAAATCTGCATTTTTAGATGAAATAAGCACTTAATGGTTAAACAAGTTCACAAAGGTGAAAAAAATTCATGACCGGGAAATGGAGAATTTACAATTACTAGCATTTCATCAATACTAATGCCATACAAAAGTAAACTGAAAAATAAACTGTAGCAAAAATAAATTAATAAGTAGATGGCTTACTTGGTCACTACCAGCCTGTTTTTCCTCATGCTCTCAACTCCAGGTTTTTCCCTTTCAGGTTCCCCTTTTTTACCAGTTTGTTTTTTTGACTTCTTATTCACTGCCTGACTAATGGTTTTGGCACAATGCTTGGGCAGCAACTAAATTTAAAAAGAATAAAATATTACATTATACCAATTACTTTGAAAACACATTAATAATGCAAATAGACCTTAACTGAATCCAGTATATGTAAGAAATATCATGCTAGCAGTAAGAACAGAGGTATAAATAAAAAGTAGAATTTACCTAGCTCAGGGAGTCTAAGCTTAGTGGAAAACAGAAATAGGTAAATATTCTGTGAAGACAGACTTCATAGAGAAAGTTATAAGAGGACTGCAGTTTAAAGGATAAATGGCCTACAAAGAACAAAATTATGTTAGGACAGAATGTGTTCAGAATCTAGTGATAACTGCTAGGTGATGAAGCCTAAGTGCACACAGGACAGAGACGTTTGAACTATCATGAAGGGACTTAAATGCCGACCTAGAGGTTTCAAAAACTATCTAACAATGGAGATTCACAAGAGGTAATAAGATTTAGTAAGAGTCTGAGAATAAGAAAATAAAAATATATTAATAAACAGTAAACAAAGTGTCCAACAGATCATTTTCTTGCTTTCATATACAAATTTCCTATCTGTAAGAAAACATTTAAATTATTACCTGGTCACTAAGAGTACACTGTTCTGTGCAAATATCAGTGATAAGATTTCGAGCTTGTTTAGCCATTTCATCCAGAAACATGTTACATAAGGAAAGACTTCGATCTCCAATATGATGTCGCTGTTAAAGCAGAATAATAATAATAATTATCAATAAGTAGTTTGAGATAAAGCACTTTTTAAATAAACACAGAAAATAAGATTAAAGTCTATTCTACATTAAGGAGTGGGGGTCAGAGATTATTACATACATTACTTTTGTGCTGCTAGAATAAATCTAAGATAATATAAAAGAATGTAAAATACTTAGACATGCAAAATCACTGTTCATAAATCTGTCATGATACCTTAAAATGTATTTTATTTAAAATTTCCTTTAAAACTTTAAAGCGGATGTACAAGCAAAATACACTTACATAAGGAGAGATTTCAAATTATAGTTACAGCCCTATTTAAGCAAATTCTGACTCCTGAAAGATAAACCGTATCTCTCACTATTACTTCTTCTTAAAAAAAAAGAACATTGAACTAGCACTGCTTTACCAGACTAACTTATTTAAGATACAGGTCTGATAACACCACTCGCCTCCAATGGCTGAGAAATGCTGAGACTGAAAAACAAAACCAGTAGGATTTTTAAATATGTCACAAGTTTCTCTATGATCTGTCCTCTGCCTCTAGCTGCAGTGCTGAGAAGAGACTTTAGGTCAATGGCAGAAACACAGGGACCACTGAGCAGATTACAATAATCTAGGCAAAAGATGATGTGGGGCCAAAACCGGTTTGGCTCAGTGGATAGAGCGTCAGCCTGCGGACTGAAAGGTCCCAGGTTTGATTCCGGTCAAGGGCATGTACCTTGGTTGCAGGCACATCCCCAGTAGGTGGTGTGCAAGAGGCAGCTGATTGATGATTCTCTCATCGATGTTTCTAACTCTCTATCCATCTCTCTTCCTCTCTGAAAAATTCAATAAAAATATATGTTAAAAAAAAAAAAAGATGTGGATTGGGCAGGGGGAGAAGAGGCAGGGTTTGGCTATATACATAAAGCTAAAGACAGAAAATGCTCCAAGGTTGAAGGTGAGGTAACATGTCCAAGAGCAGCAGTTCTCTTCTGTACATGTTACATTTTACATAGCCAAAATGCCTGAATTGCAACAGAATATTTTTTTAATATAGTTTATTAATTTTTTTTACAGAGAGGAGGGGAGAGGGATAGACAATTAGAAACATTAATGAGAAGCTTCCATCAGCTGCTTCCTACACAATTCCCACTGGGGATGTGCCTGCAACCAAGGCACATGTCCTTGACAAAATCGAACCTGGCACCCTTCAGTCCACAGGCCGATGCTCTGTCCACTGAGACAAAGCGGTTAGGGCATAACAGAATATTTTTAAAAACTTTTACAATTAAAGGTAAAGGACTGGGCTGAAAATACAAATTTGGGAAACATCAGCATATGAAAGATTTTTAAACAATGAGAATGGAAAAGATAAGTGAACTACTAGATTGGACAGTACAGATAGAGCAAAACAATTACCAGTTTTCCTTTAGAACTGGATGCTATTACCCCGGGATCCTGCTGACCCAGGAGGGTGTAAATTTCAAATCTAGTTCAAAAGATAGTGTCTTTCTGCAAATTTATTCTAAGTACTCTAACTCAAAATGAGACCTCAGCATTAAGAAACTGTTCTGGAGGCTTTTTCTATAATGCCTCTGATATAAATAAATTCAAAGGCTAAAACTAAAATTATAAAGCCAGCCTGCACTGAGGACTGCACATCAACTTACTCAGTCCTCACCCTGAGGGGAACTTCCCCAATGCTCCCACAGTGCCTCATGTGTATTTCTACCACAGCACAGATCATCAGACCATGGATTGATCTAGGGTAGAGACTGTGTCTTTGCATCTTTCATTCACAGCATTTAACAAGGCAGCTAGGAAATAAGTCTTTAACAAATTAGCTAAATGGAAAATAGAATAGTGACACTGACTAGCTACATTACTATAGGAGACTTTTCTTTAGAGACTTTCTTCATCTGTAAACTAAGAATGATTATCAGCACTAGTGTTGCCACTGTGTCATAGCAATCAAATGCAAAAAAAAAAAAGGATGGGAAAATGTTGTACAAATTGCATGCTTCTATATAAATATAAACACATTATCAATTACTTTTTATAATTATTTAATAAGAATTGAGTATTATCCTAAATATTTAGGAACCATAACTTTACCAACTAAATGAAGCAGAAACATTATTATATAAAGTAGATAATGATAGATATTAAAATGCTATGAAAATATGGAAAAGGAAGGACAAATTCTAACATGAGAAATGCTACAAATCTTTGGAATAGGTAGGGTTTAAGCTCACCACTGAGAAAAAGGTAAGAGTACAAGAGGTAAGGGTGCAATGAAATGAATTGTATACATTAGGAAAAACCTTTAACATGCTAAAAAGTAGACAATTAGTGTACTTTGCATAAGGTGAAGTAGTTATAGTTCAAAGGAAGTGGAAAGTGTATGATAAAACGAGGGTAGAGTCCATCCAGATGAGTGCATAAACAAAATGTGGTAAACACAGACTAGATTATTCAGCCACAAAAAGAAAATTCTGATATATGCTATAACGTGGATAAGTCTTGAAACATTATGCTCAGTAAGAAACAAAAGGACAAACATTCTGATTCCACTTACAGGAATGATCTAAAATAGGCAGATTCAAACAGACAGACAGTAGGCTAGGGTATTTCAAGGGTAGGAGGAATGAGGAATTACTGCTTAATGGTTATAGAGTTTTTGCTTGGAGTGATGAAAGTTTTGAAAATGAATAGTGGTGATGGTTGCACAATACTGTGAAGGTAATTAATGCCGCTGAACTGTACATTTAAAAATAATTAAAATAGCACAGTTTGATGTTAGATATATATGCATTTTTAAACAAAAATTAATGACAATAAAAAAAGAAGGGGGTAAAGATCTAATTATTGAGGATTTTTAATGCCTGAGAAATTTTTACTTTCTTCATATAAAATTAATGATGATTCTTTAAGAAGAATCTTAAAGATGATTCTTTAAGAAGGAATGATCTGGTGGCATTGTACTAGGTAGACTTAAAGGCAGGAAAACTATTCAACAGTACATATAAAGAACTATAATAGTGACAAAAGCAATGGAAAGTAGAGGATGGATTCAAGAAATGATACCACATAAATAAAATTGGAGGACCTCATGGGTAATTTAATGAAAAAGATTATGATGAAGAAAAAATTAACAGTATATCATAGGTAAATAAAGCTTGGGGGAAACCTAAATCTAAAGACTATAAATCTATTAAAATTGGGTAGTAACATCCTCACAGTTACTAATCCTAAAAGCACTCCCTAACAAACTCCTGCAGGCTAATCTCTATCTCATTCCAACAGAATCCTGCAACAGATGGTACCTAATGCTTAAAAATATTAATAATGCTACTACTATCTGTAAGTTTCTCTTCTACAAGTTCTCTAGTTTTAAGGGACTCAATACTAATTCCTAGTAAATTATACATAAATATATTACTTAATCTTAATATATATTATATATTATTACTACATTTAAAAAGTGGTATTTGTTCCTTAAACATTAGAATGAACACCAGTATCTATCAAAAATACTGAGTACATTTTTAAAAAAATATATTTTATTGATTTTGCACAGAGAAGAAGGGAGAGATAGAGTTAGAAACATCGATGAGAGAAAGTCATCGATCAGCTGCCTCTTGTACATACCCTACTGGGGATATGCCCGCAACCAAGGTACATGCACTTGACCAGAATCGAACCCGGGACCCTTCAGTCCCCAAGCCGACGACGCTCTATCCATTGAGCCAAACTGGTCTCGGCCCAAGTACATTTTTTATAAATACTTGGCATCGATAAAACTGCTAATTAGTTCAATTATTCAATAATTCTGTGGGCCCGCATGCCAGCATGTATGTCTTATAAATACCAGCAAATCTAGATTTTATATCCATTGTATTGGTAAGTCAGTAAAATTCATCTTCAATATGTTTATGTTTAGTCACTAATCTGTGCATTCAATTTGCAAGTTTTGCTTGACCAGCATGACAGTGGGTACATGCCCAAGTGCGGGCTTGATCTCTAGTGTGGGCCATACAGGAAGCAGTGGATCAATGATTCTCTCTCATCAACGGTGTTTCTATTTCTTTCTCCTTCTCCCTGTCTGAAATCAATAAAGATAAATATTTTTTTAAATTTTCAAGTCTTTCCAATGTAACCTAAGAAGGAAAGTAAGCATACAAAATCAATTACTGTATATATTTTTACCATACATATTAATACCTGACCTACCATTTACTTTAATAAAGGTAATTTCTAGTGACCTTATGATATATACTTATAAATACTTATATATCTAATAAAATATCTATTATATCTACATAAAATACCTATTCAAGTATTCTCTGATTTTATATACAGATGCATTAGATGGAAAGCTAAATTAGGTATCCATTACTTTGTGAGCATTTGGTCAGCTACATGTTTGGTTTAGTTTATTCTGCATACCATATAAATCAGAGTAGTACCCTGAAATTACCTCTTCTGGACACAGTTCATGTGTGCAACTCATAAAATGAGTGCAAAGTAGTGGAAATGCAATTGAGTATCTTGACTGAGAGGGTAACTCCAAACACTGTTGAAACATCTTCTCAAAAGCACGACTATAAAAACTATATAAGAAAACAAATTAAAAATTAGAATCAACTTTTATAGTTAAAATTTTCATGATATAGTACCTTATAGTTAATTTAATTCAAGTGAATGAGTCCCCAGTTGGTAGCATTATTCCCTTAAGAGAATAATTATTTTTCCAAAGAGTATCTCTTATACACTGATAATCACTCCAGAGTAATAAAAATATTATTTGTATAATATATTACAAATTTAAAAAAACCTAAACAGAAAATAAGCCATATCTATATTATATGAATATATGACTTTCTAATTGTTATATCTTTCTTTTAAAATAGAAACTTTTCTGTAGCTGGGGAAAAAAAAAAAAAAATATATATATATATATATATATATATATATATATATATATATATATATATATATATATATATATATATATAAAAAAGCCTAAGCAACCAGCCAACCATCCAGTACCTATGACGTGCACTGACCACCAGGGGGCAGATGCTCAATGCAGGAGTGGAAACCACAGGCATGGAAACATGGAACAGACTAGTGAATCTCAGAGGGAAGGGGGGGAGAAGGGAGGGCAGAAAGAGATTAACCAAAGATCTTATATGCATACTAGAGTCCCAGTTCATAGATTTGCACATCGGTGGGGTTCCTTGGCCTAGCCTGTGGGTATCAAGCCAAAACTGGCTCTCCAACATCCCCCGAGGAGTCCTGGATTGTAAAGGCGCAGGCCAGGCCAAGGGACCCCAGAAATCCATGCACCGGGCGTTCCATTTTCTCCTCAAGGAAATCTTTGGGACAGACAATAATATACATTTCCAAATAACCTTGAAAAATTTTGTAAATTTTACACATGGTATACCGGTTTTTGGTTTTTTGTTTTTTTTTAGTTCTTTAAGAGATTCCTGATACCTTCCCTGGATTTCCTCTGCAATACTGCTAATTAAAGCCACCCTAACAAACTACCAAAAATGGTATGAACCGAGTTATTTTCCAAAATAAAAGCAATAAAAAGCTTTTTATAATGACAGCTATTCAATATATAGCAACTACAATCATTACCCACTGGGATTATCTCAGTATTTTAGAAATAAAGGGACATATTAGGTTATTCCAATAAACTTCCCTAAAGGAATAATGGCCATAAAGCAGAAATAGAGTTGATATTATATAGCTTTGGAGCCAAATACTTGAGTTTGAATCCTGGCTTCATGACCAAATTCATATATTCATTCAAATATTCATTAAGTACCTACTATGTTAGACACAATGGAAATAAAACATGATTGTCCTTTAAGGACCACTTAATGAGGGGAAAAAGAAAGGGACAAAACTTAAACAGTATACTTAGTCAAATTTATAACTAAAGCAGCTCTGATAAAAGGAGAATGGAACACCATTCAGGGAATGGTCACCATATCATCACAACATTAATGTCTAATTTAATACTATAGAGTGAGATTAATTGGTATTTTACTTCCAACATTTGCTCTATTTAACACTAATCTACAACTTTTTCTCTTAATCTAATGATGAAAGAGGGAGGGCCTTACGTCAAATTTGAAGTGACTGTTTTCACCTCCTCAAAAAAAGTGTAAAAAATTTACACCAGAAGAGCTGTTCTTAATAGAGAATTAAAAATAAACATGGAGAGAGGGCAGAAAAAAATAAACATAAACATAAAACCCCAAATTGGTAAATTTAAAAATATATATATATTTTTATTGATTTCAGAGAGGAAGGGAGAGGGAGAGATAGAAACATCAATGATGAGAGAAAATCATTAATCATTAATCAGCTGCCTTCCCTATGTCCCCTATTAGGGATCCAGTCATGTGCCTTGATCGGAATCCAACCTGGGACACTTTAGTCCACAACCGATGCTCTATTCACTGAGCAAAACCAGCCAGGGCAGTAAACTTCTTTTTGTTAGCAAGTTATCCACTATTCCCTTTATTGTTATGCCCTAGTTCGCCAGAGCACATGCAGGAGGCAACCAATCAATGTGTCTCTCTCACATCAATGTTTCTCTCTCTGTCTCTCCCTTTCCCTTCCACTATCTAAAAATCAATGGATATCCAATGAGGATATTTTTAAAATTTATTATAACTGAACTGTCTTAAGAATTATATTAATATTTTTTAAAAATCAAGAGAGATACCTTTGGATACTAAAAAATCTTAAATTCTGATCTAAAGATAATCATAACATACCAAAATATGGAGAGATCTGATGTTTCCACCAACATTTCCACCAAGGAATCCACCATTTTTGTATGAAAAATTATCGTATTCATCATCTTTCCAAGTTCTCTATGATCTGCAAGGCTAAGCGAAGCCTTAGAGACACTAGTATATGCCTGTAAAAGTACAGCAAAAAACAAAAGTAGTTTAAAGTACAGACCAATGAAGTTAACCTTGTATTGATAATTCTACAGGTAGAAAAAAAACACACCCACTATTGAAGTATCATCAGCTTGTAAAGATCTGCTCCTTTTTGTAGTCATATTTTACAACTAAAAAAGTCTCTAAATTTGCCCTTTCCTCAGTGTTTGCCCTTTTCCTATGTAAGCCAGTTTCCTGTTCAAATTCTAATCATCTTTCAATGTCTGGATAAAATGTTACTTTCTCTATAAGCCATTACTAGCAACTTCAACTTGAAGAAAGCTTTCGTCTATACTAGCAATTTTCAACCAGTGTGCCACATGAATGTTTAAAACATGAAATAACTATTTAGGTCAGGGGCACTGAACTCCTCCTTTCCCTTAGGATGTCAAAAAAGTGCGTTTTTTTGTTTTTGTTTTGTTTTTTTAATATACTTTTTATTGATTTGTTACAGAGAGGAGGAGAGGGGGACAGAGAGCTAGCAACATCGATGAGAGAGAAACATGGAACAGCTGCCTCTTGCACACACCCTACCGTGGATGTGCCCACAACCAATGTACATGCCCTTGACCGGAATGGAACCTGGGACCTTTCAGTCCACAGACCGACGCTCTACCACTGAGCCAAACCGGATTCAGCAAAAGTGGGTTTTTTTAATGACTAAAGCCAACCAAATAGCTATCCAATATGAATGAATCAAAATTATATCTATATTTTTTGTCAGATCAGCAAGAAATATTTTTTGGTGTGCCACAGAACTTTAGAAATTAGTTTATGTGTGCCATGAGATGAAAAAGGTCGAAAATTACTGATCTATACAAACCACCTAGATTCTGAATACTACCTCCCATCTTGCACTTTTGCCCTCTTTGCCTATACAAGACTTATCTGGCTTAGTTAATGCTCACTCAAATGCTCTATATTCTAATATACTGAATAAAGCTAAAAGTCTCAAGTGGCTCATTCAAAATGGGTAAGTTTAATAATCTTGGAAGTATTTAATAAGGAAAATTTAAAATGCATCTAACCCTGGCTGGTGTGGCTCAATTGGCTGGATATCCTCCCATGCACTAAAGGTTGCAGGTTCGATTCCTGGTCAGGCACATATCCAGATTTCAGGCTCAATCCCTGAGTGGAAGGGCATGTAGGAGGCTGCCAACCAATGGTCTGCTCTCATATCAATGTTTCTCTTTCTCTTTCCCTCTCTAAAAATCAATAAAAATAGAAATGGAGGGGTAGGGAGAGAGAGATAGAAACATCAATGATGAGAATCATTGATGGGCTGCTTCCTGCATGCTCCACACTGGGGAGCGAGCCCAAAACCCTAAGCATGTGCTCTGACCAGGAATCGAACTGTGACGCTCATAGTTCGACACTCAATCACTAAGCCATGCCAGCCGGGCAATATAAGTCTTTTAAAAAATAAATAAAATGCATCTAAATCTCCAAATTTTTCTGAATCCAAATGTTTCTAGGTACTCTCATAAACTGAAGGCAGGAAACTAACTGTTCAAGCTATGACAATGACTATGTATATCCTTTAGCTGAGCAATTCTACTATTTTCACATTATAAGCTCTACTGCTGTAATGTTTCAGAACTTTTGAAAAACAAAGAAATGTCCCTTTTTTAAATGTATTTTTCATTATTAATAGTATTGCAGTTATCTCCTATTCCCCCCCCTTGGACTCCTTAAGAAATGTTCATTTCTGCCCTGGCCAATTTGACTCAGTGGATAGAGCATCGGCCTGTGTACCAAAGGTCCCGGGTTCAATTCTGGCAAGGGCACGAACCTTGGTTTCAGGCTCCTCCCTGGCCTGGGCCCCTGGTTGGGGCTCATGCAGAAGGCAACCAACCAATGTGTTTCTCTCTGTCTTTCCCTCTCTCCTCCACTCTCTCTAAAAAAATCAATGGAAAATATCCTCAGGTGAGGATTAAAAAAAAAATGTTAATTTCTAAACTTTATTTTTAATAGGTAGAAAATAGTGATGGAAGGAGACTTGACTTGGGGTGGTGAACACACAATACAATGATTGATGATTAATGTATTCTAGAATTGTACACCTGAAAGCTGTATAATGTCTACCCAATAAATACAATAAAAATTTTAAAAACTAAAAATATATTTAATAGGAAAGAAAATAACCTGTAACATATTCACATGTAATATTTTGGGAGAGTGGTATTTCAAGTGTTCTTCCTGATCTCCCACCAACCAGTTCTATAACCTTGGGCAAATTACTTAATACGTGTGGCCTCATTTATAAAACCGTTTCTAAGAATATGCTCCATAGCACACAGAACAAGAGAGAGAAAAGTGCCTATGTATTTTGAGGTTGGAAAGAACCTAAGAAAAGCAAAAGCACCTCAGGGAACTAAACAGACTGCCAGAAAAATATGCTCTTCTAGGTACCCAGCCCTTCCTGAAACTATAGTCATTTAAAATGTCTTCCACAAACACATACTGCTTATATTTTCATGTTTTAATTAAACAAATAAAAATTTTATTAAGTCGCAGAACAAAATATACAATATAATCCCATTTACATGTTTGGATGCCTAAAAAGATATGACGTTATTAAAAGTGAGTATTGCTGGGGAATGAGACTGGGAAAAGTGCAAACTTTCATTTTCTACTTTACCTCGGAATACTTTGACTTTTTATAATAACAGACTAATATTCATGTTTTTAAAATATGAGGTTATTAGAAACACTGGGCCACCATTTTCCCATAATTACTAGAAATATTTAGAGGGCAATTAAATTCTACCATTAAATCCACATACATAAAAGATTTTAGGTTTGAATTTTAAAAGCCCTCAAAAACTATTTATGTGAGAGTTATATATTAAATGAAAATATTTAAAGTCCAATACTTTATTAGTATTTATTTCTGCATTTCAGAAAAATGAAGCTTTAGACAACAGATCAGGAAATAATAAACTATGGCCTGAGAGCCAGTTGCTTGTTTTTACGAAGTTTTATTGGAATGCCACTACACCCATTTGTTATTGTCTACAGGTGCTCACACACTACAATGGCAGAGATGGGTATTAATGACAAAGACTACGCGGCCCACAACCCTAAGTTTATATCAACTGATTCTAGATTATAAATATTTTGTCAAAAAAGATTTTGTGATTTCACACTTTAGTATTAAATATTTGAATAAGGATAATCAAAGGAGATATTTGGAATTTAAATATTTGGATATTCTAAAATTATAATCTGTTTTATTTTTAAAAAATCTTTTATATTGGCATAAGTTAGAAATTATCAAAGTTTAACAACGAGTATAAAATATTTCTTCTACATACAATGCAACAGTAAGGAAACATTTGGGCAGATAATCTGAATAGACATTTTTCCCAGAGAGAATCCTATATAATAAAAGGCTAATATGCAAAAAGACTGAATGGCAAAATAACCTAACAATTGGTCACTATGATGCACGCTGACCACCAGGGGTGTGCACAGAATATGATGGGTATCGGCAGTAGGTGGCAGAGCACGGAACATGGCCGGGGTTGGCCGTGGCGGGATGGTGGAGCAGGTGAACAGGGGCACCAGACTGGCAGGGCCAGTCACGGTCATCGGAGCAAGCCTCTGGTCGTTACTGAAAATTCTCTGCTTCTGCGTGCCGCAGTCCTGAGCAGAGTTCGCACCTGCTGCCGACACTGGAGCCACCGCTCGTACCCACTGCCAGCACCCAGCACTGGCCCTGATCTCTTGGTGCCATCAGCGGGTACAAGTGGCAGCTGCTGGCCCGATTGCTCCTGAGGGCTTCTCCACCTCCTCCTACTCCTGAGGAGCTATTGGGGCAACAGCCGCCATTCATACCCACTGTAGGTGCCAGTGCCAATCACTCCAGGCCCCAATCACTCCAAGCCGTAAGCAGGTACAAGTGGGGCCGGTGCTATCAGCATGTGGGAGCAGCAGCAGTGGTGGGAGCGGGGCTGTAGGCAGACAAGAAACCAGAGGCCACAGAAGGAGGGGCTTGGGACAGGGACGTGAAGGATCGGCCAAGACCTGTCCCTGTACCCACCGCAGCCTCATGGCCCACAATTCCTTTCAAGGTGCATGAATTCATGCACTGGACCCCTAGTATGTATATGATAGATAGATAGATAGATAGATAGATAGATAGATAGATAGATAGATATAACAGGTACATTAAAAGATGTTCAACATTACTAATCATATGGAAATGCAAATTAAAACCACAATGAGTTATCACCTCACACCTGTCAGAATGGCTATTATCAAAAACACAAGAGATAAGCATTGGTGAAAATGTGGAGAAAAGGAAACTGTGCATTACTGGTGAGAATCTAAATGGGTACAGCTACCATGGAAAACAGTAATAAAGATTTCTCAAAAATTTAAAGACACAACTAACTTAACATATGATCCAGCAAGTCCTCTTCTACTTATCCAAAGGAAATGAAAACACTAACTCAAAAAGATATCTGCATCCTTATTACATAATGCAGCATTATTTACAATAGCCAAGATATGGGAACAACTTAAGTGTCCATTGATGGATGAATGGATAAAGAGTGTGTGTGTGTGTGTGTGTGTGTGTGTGTGTGTGTGTGTGTGTGTGGTGTGAAATATGATTCAGCCATATCTGCCTTTTGCAACAACATGGATGGAGCCTGAATGCATTATGCTAAGTGAAATAAGTGAGACAAAGAATAACAAAGACTGTATGACCTCACATATATGGGGAATCTAAAAAAGCACACAAATAAACTCATAAATACAACTGGTGGTTGCCATAGGCAGGGAGCTGGGATTGGGTGAAGGTGGTCAAAAGGCACAAACTTCCAGTTAAATAAGTCCTTGGGATGTAATGTACAGTATGGTGACCAGAGTTAATAATAGTATATAAGAAGCAGTCCCCCCTTCCTTATTCACGATTTCACTCGATGCAGTTTCAATTACCCAACTGTGCTCTGAAAGTATTAAATAGAAAATTCCAGAATTAAACAATTTATAATTTTAAATTGCAAACCTTTCTGAGTAGCCTAATGCATTCTCACATCATCCACTTAGGATGTGAATCAACACTTTGCCTAGGTACCCGCACTGCATGAAATGGTACCTTCCCATTAGTCACTCAGTAGTCTTCTCAGCTATCAGAGCAACTGTCACAGTATTGTAGTGCTTGTGTTCAAGTAACTCACCTAACACATCAGTGCCTTCTCAGTCACTTCATCTTATCACATAAGATACTATACCATCTCTCATTACATAAAAGGGTGAGTACAGTACAATATAGTATTTTGAGAGATGACATTCACATAACTATTACAGTTATAACTGCTATATTTTATAGTTGTTGTTGTTACTCTTTTATTGTGCCTAATTTTATAAGTTATTAAACTTTATTATAGGTTTTTATGTATAGGAAAAACAATACATATAGGGTACTATCCATGGTTTCAAGCATCCACTGGGAGTCTTGAAACATATCCCCTTCAGATAAGGCGACTACTATATTATATATTTGAAAGTTACTAAGACAGAAGATCTCAAAAAGTCTCAAAACACAAGAAAAATAAGTTGGTAACTATGTGTAGTGATAGATGTTAACTAGACTTACATCATAGTGTGATAATTTCTCAATATATACATATATTGAATCATTATTGAAAACCTGAAATTAATGTAATGTTATGTCAATTATATCTCAATAAAAAGTTTCTTCAGTGAGTTAAAGTCTATGGTTAGTTATACAAAAGAAGTTTTTTCATTAGGTATGTAACAATGAATAATTTTTTCATGTTAAGTAATGTTTTCATGTCAACTAAGATATTCGATAACAGAATAGTAATGAAAATTATTAAGTTATTCTTACCTGTAATCTAAACCAATCTAATCTCATTCCTCTGAAATCAAATACTTCCCCATCTTCAACTATAATAAAAGAAAAAAAGTTGATAAAAAAAATTAATATTTTCACAAATCTATGATCCCATTTCAATTTATAAGAACTAAGACAACTCCACTTCTGGGTATACACACAACATAATTAAAAGCAGGGTGTTGAAGAGATATATTTGTACATCTATGTTCATAGCAGTATTATTCACAATAGCCAAAAAAGTGGAAGCAACCTTATATCCATCAATGGATAAATGGATAATAAAAATGCTGATTCTACTTAGAGTAGTCAAACTCATATAACCAGAAAGCATGGTGGATGCCAGGGGCTGGGAGAAGAGGGAATGGGGAGTTGCTATGTAATAGCTATAGAGTTTCAGTTTTGCAAGATGAAAAGGTTCTGGAAATTGGTTTCACAACCATGCGAATATATTTAACACTATCAAACTGTATAGTTAAAAATAGTAAGATAGTAAATTCCTATCATAATTAAAAAGTAAAAATAATTTAATAGCTAAGTCAGTGAAATAATTTTCAAGTCCTATAAAGATGATGGTAAAGGAGACAGTTATGCTAAGAAAAGTGTATCATAAAACAGACTTTTCTCCTAAACTCTGACTCTCAGTGTGCTTGCTTTACATGTCAATTTGAAGGAGCTAGAATAGAGCTCACAGAATCCAATAAACAGATTTTGTATGGCAATTTGGATATGCTAAAGAAAAGCCATAAGTGCATCCTTTAAATGAAAAGGCGAGTACAGCAATATAAGATATTTTGAGAGACAAACCACATTCACATAACTTTTATTAAAGTATGTTATAATTGTTCTATTTATTATATGTTGTTAATCTCTTAGTGTGCACATATTTAAATTAAACATCGCAGGTATGTATGCATAGAAAAAAAAAAGTACAATTGATCTTTAAATAGCATTGGTTTGAAATGCACTGGTCCATTTACATGAATGTATTTTCTCTTCCTTGCAATTTTTTTTTAATCTTCACCCAAAGATATGTCTTTTTATTGATTTGAGAGAGAGAGAGAGGGACAAAGGGAGGAAAAGAGGGAGGAAGGAATGGAAGGAGGGAGGGAGAGACATCAATGTGAGAAACATTAATCAGCTGCCTTCTATATGCACCCCCTTACACACCCCAATTGGGAAAGGAACCTGGACCTGGGCATGTGCCCCTACTGGTAATTGAAACTGTGACCCTTCAGTGCACAATGGCTCCAATCAAATGAGCCAATGGGCCAGGGCACATTTTCTTAATAACGTTTTCTTTTCTCCAGCTTTCTTTATTTTAAGAATATAGTACATCCTGGCCGGCATGGCTCAGTGGTTGAGCATCGACCTATGAACCAGGAGATCACAGTCAGATTCCCAGTCAGGGCACATGCCTAGGTTGTGGGCTCAATCCCCACGTGCAGAAGGCAGCCAATGATTCTCTCTCATCATTGATTTTTTTTTTTCTCCCCTCTCCCTTCTTCTCTGAAATCAATAAAAAAAATATTTAAGAAAAAGAATATATTATACATATAACATACAATATATGAGTTAATCAACTATTTATATTATTGGTAAGGGCCTGATCAATAGTAGGCTATCGGTAGTTAAGTATTTGTGGAGTCAAAAGTTTCAACTGTGCAGGGGGCCTGCTCCCCTAACCTCTGCAAGGTTCAAGAGTCAACAGTATATATAAGGTTTAGTACGATCTATGGTTTCAGGCATCCACTGGAGTTTTGGCACAGAACCCCTGCAGATAAGGGGGGATGGACTACTGTATGTCCAAAAAATTAAATGATTAAATATTAACTGTCAAATATTTTCTTTAATAATAAAATTTGAAAACCTCCTGAGAAGAAAATGTGTTTTTATTTAAAAGATTTATTACCTTGCTTTACACTTAGGGAAGTCATAGTGTTAACAAAAGAAGACATGATGATTGATTCATCTTCAGGGCAAACAGAAAGATTCTGAAAAGAAACAAAAAAAATAATGTTAAAATCATCTAGTTAGAAAACAATCCATAGGTTCATTAACAGGTGGATGAATAAACAAACTGGTATATCCACACTATGGAATATTTTTCAGCAATAAACGAGGACAAATGTTGATACATATAATAAAAGGGATGAATCTCAAAAACATTGTGCTAATTGAAAGAAATAAAAAACAGCCATAGCCAGTTTGGCTCAGTAGATAGAATGACAGTCCGTGGGTTTGATTCCGGTCAAGGGCACATGCCTCGCTTGCAGGTTCAATCTCCAGCCCAGTTTGGCCAACGTGCAGGGAGGCAACCAATGTATGTGTCTCTCACATAGAAGTTTCTCTCTCTCTCTCCTCCTACCCCCTTCAACTCTCTATAAAAATCAATTGAAAATAGCCTCATGTGATGTTTAATTTAAATATAATTCACAGTAAAAAATGAACAACTAAATATTTTTAAATGAAATTATATTAAAGAATAAGAAAAAAAATCATAAATTAGCCCTGCACAAGATGATATACTAATTTCCTGTTGATTAAAAGTCCATTTCTTTTTTCTTTTTTTTAAATATATTTTATTGATTTTTTAGAGAGGAAGCGAGAGGAGGAAGGGAAAGGGATAGAGAGCTAGAAACATTGATGAGAGAAACATCGACCAGCTGCCTCCTGCACACCCCCTACCGGGGATGTGCCCACACCAATGTACATGCCCTTGACCGGAATCGAACTTGGGACCTTTCAGTCCGCAGACCGACGCTCTATCCACTGAGCCAAACCAGTTTCGGCAAAAGTCCCCCATTTCTGCCTGGCCAGTGTGGCTCATTGGTTGAGCACCAAGCCATCAACCAGGAGGTCAAGGTTTGATTTCGATCAGGACACATGCCCTAATTGCAAGCTCAATCCCTAGTAGGGGCAGTACAGAAGATCGCTGAACAATGATTCCCTGATGCTCCTATCCCTCTCACCACTCCCTTCCTCTCTCTGAAATCAATAAAAATATATTATTTAAAAAAAAAAAAAAAAAAAAAGCCCTGTCAAAGTAGCTCAGTTGGTTGGAGCATTGTCCCATATACCGAAAAGTCAGGGTACATATGGGAAGCAACCAATGGATGTTTCTCTCTTTCTTTCTCTCTCTCTCCCTCTCTCCCTCTTTCTCTCCCATCCCTACCTCTCCACCCTACCTTTCTCTCTAACAACAACAAAAAAGTTATATGGTATATAATTCCATTTATATGATTTTCTTAAAGGCAAAAGGTGACCAAAAGCAGATGAGTGTTTCTCGAATCGAAGAGGAAATCAACTAAGGTGCATAAGAAAACTTTTATGTACTGGAAATGTTCCACATCTTGACTGTTACATGAATGCATAAATAGTTATCAAAATTCAAACCATACACTAAAAATTGGTGATTTTTTTTTAATTAAATGTAAAGTATATCTTAACAAAACTAAGAGAAAAAAAATCCCTCTCAAACTGGCCAAAAAATATGAAAATTTGATAAGATTAAAATTTTTTAATAAGTGGGTGCCTTGCTCACAAACAGCATAATTGTCAAGACATTAAGACCTACACAACAATGTGAATGTATGTAACATTATTATACTGTATACCTAAAAATGGTTAAGATGATAAATTTTATGTATGTTTTACAATAATAGTAATTTAACACCTATTACAATGAGCTATATTAACAGATTGCTCTTAGTTCTAAATTTAAATTCCAACCAACTGTTAAAAACACCATGCTTGTACTTTACAAAAGAAGAGGTGGTAAAAAGCTCAGGTGTTCAGGTAAGACACTACTTCAAATACTGGCTCTGTTACTTATGATTATGCAATATTGAGCATTCCCCCCAAATAATGATAACTATATCTACCCTCACAAAGTTGTACTACAAATGTAATAAACTATCAATAATTTTGACAATTATTAGTATAATTTTACTAATACTAGAACAATATTTTCAGAAAAAATAAAGAGATTGTATTAACATAGTTTACATAAAAAGGCTCCAAGAAATATGGAATAACTTTAAAATGTTAACACTATAACATAAATTTGTAAAATGTATTAATAAGCATCCAACTAACCACAGCAAATTTCAACATGACAAGAGACCAGGAGTCTGGTTTACTTTTTAGATTGTGACAGCATGACAGCCTCTGCTATATACAATAAGTAATAATTATTTGAATAAAGTTGTAGCAAACAGTAGCAGACAAGGTTTAAATAAAATCAGTCTAGTCTTTTATAATGGACATTCTAGGGGGGGAAAAAGCATCTGAGCTCCATCTAGTGGATAAAAAAGAAATACACTAGCTTATGAAAACAAACTGTATATAATTAAATGTAAACAATTACATGACATTTTTCATATTTGGTTTTTAAGTAGGTTTCAAAAATATTAGTATTTCAGGAGGAGATCCAAGGAGGCAGCATAGGTAAACATGTAAACTGCTGCTGTGCACAACAATTTCAAAACTACAACTAAAAAGCAAACTGTCTATCATCCAGAACCATGGGAAAGCTGGCTGAGTGGAAGTTCTACAACTAGACAGAAAGAGAAAAGAGCATTCAGGGCACAAGTGCTGAAAAACTGAGTTTAACCTAGCAAACTTGCAACCTGGTGCAGACAGCTCCAAAGCCTTCAAGCTCCAAGAAGGGAGGAGAGAACTGTGGTTCTCGCTATAGCTCCTGCAGGTTGGCCTCAGACAGTAGCTGAACTACACCCCATTGGAGATCCAGAAGCCAGTGTACCTAGTGTGAGATAGCAGATTTTAACTCCTCACATCCATAAGTGACATATTCAGGAGGCAGACTCAGTGAGCACCAAAGCCCCAACTGAAGCAAGCCTGCACCATAAACGTGTTTCCAGCACAGCAGTTCTTTCATTATAGACACAGAAGGTCCACACAACCAATTGGCCTGGAGACCAATTCCTCCCAGTGTACCTACAGCAATCAAGGCTTAACTACACCAACACTTTGCACTCAGCCCACAAAGGGGTGTACCAAGAGCAACCACCTCAGGTGATTGGGGAAGCAGAACTACTGGCCCCTATAAGTCACCTACCACACAAAGCCACTCCATCAACACAGGGAGGCAACCAAAATGCGAAGACACAGAAGCATGTCACAAATGGGAGAAATGGAAGAAAGCAAACTACTGGACGATAAAGAGTTCAGAACCATATTTATAAGATTGCTCAAGAATCTTCTAAAAACTGCTGAGAAACTCGAAGAGACTTTCAAGGACCGTATTGAGAATGAAAAAAAAAAAAAAAAAAAAAAAAAAAAAAGGAAAAGGACCAGTAAGAAATTAAGCATACACTGTCTGAAATAAAGAATATACAGAAACTCAACCGTAGATCAATGTACCCCAAGAGTCAAACCAAAGATCTGGAATATGAGGAAGCAAAAAAAACACCCAATCAGAGAGACAGAAAGAAGAATCCGAAAGTGTGAGGATAGTGTAAGGCGTCTCTGGGACGGGTGTAAGCATACCAACATCTGGATTTTTGGGGTGTCAGAAGAAGAGAGAGAGCAGGATATTGAAGGCCTATTGAAAGAAATAATGACAGAAAACTTTCCCTACCTGGAGAAAGAAATAGACTTACAAATTCAGGAAGCACACAGAACCCCAAACAAGAGGAATCCAAAGAAGACCACACCAAGACACATCATAATTAAAATGCCAAGGGCAAAAGACAAAAAGAGAATCTTGAAAGCAGCAAGAGAAAAACAGTTAGTTACCTACAAGGGAGTACCCATACGACTGTCAGCTGATTTCTCAACAGAAACTATGCAGGCCAGAAATATACAAAGTGATCAACAGCAAGAACCTACAACCAAGATTACTCTACCCAACAAAGATATCATTCAGAATTGAAGGCCAGATAAAGAGCTTCACAGACAAGGAAAAGCTAAAGGAGTTCATCACCACCAAAACAGGATTACATGAAATGCTGAAGGGTATTCTTTAAGAAGAGGAAGAAGAAGAAAAAGGTAAAGGTAAAAATTATAACAAAAAGACATTAGATATACATACCTACCAACAAGTGAATCTAAAAATCAAGTGAATAAAAAATGTGAAGAACAGAATTGACTGGTGAATATAATAGAATCAGGGACATAGAAAGGGAGTGGACTGACAATTTTCAGGGGCAAGGGGGTCTGAGGGGTGTGGAAGAGATTGGACAAAAATCTTACACCTATGGATGAAGACAGTGGTTGGGGTAAGGGCATGGGGTGGGGTGGGGAATCAGGAGGAGGGGAGCTATGGGGAGTAGGGGGAAAAAGAGGAACACCTGTATTAATCTGAACAATAAAGATTTATTATTAAAAAAATAAAATTCAAAAACAATTATATTAGGATTTCAAAGTATGGTTATTTCATGGTAAAAACCAGTAACTGTAGAGTCTTAATACAGTCTTAATATTAGTCTTAGTATATATGGTATATACTATATATACTATATATATAGTATAAGGTAACATTATACTATATGTTACCTTACAGTAGTTTTTAGATACTGATGATTTTATAAAATGAAGCAAAATAAGATACTATTTTCCCTATAGTTAATTAGAAATAAAAATAAAATAAATTTATAATAAGATAAAAAAGACAAAATAAAGAAATTATGGAAAGCCAAACAAACAAAAAACCAAGGACAAAAATCAATCAAGAAAAATCCAAAAAAATTAAGACATTTAAATTAGGACATCTAGATAAAATATTTTTTATTGGCCATCCTCTAACAGAGGATGCAGAAAAACTTCTACTTTTTCTCTAATACTTAGTTATCAATTATATGTCTCCATTATCTTTTATCTCCACAGCCACTGTCCAAGTTCAAGTTCTCATCACCTCTCATCCAGCCTACTGCAATTTTTCTTCTACACTCTCTCTATTCCCTTGGTCCCCAGTAACCCATCAACCACACTGATTCAGGGTAATCTTTCTAAGTAATAAATCTGATTTATAACTAACTTCCTCTTTTTCAAGGCCCTGTATAATTTATTTTTTTAAATATGTTTTATTGATTTTTTACAGAGAGGAAGAGAGAGATGGATAGAGTTAGAAATATCCATGAGAGAGAAACATCAATCAGCTGCCTCTTGCACACCCCCTGCTGGGGATGTGCCCGCAACCAAGGTACATGCCATTGACGGGAATCGAACCCGGGACCTTTTAGTCCGCAGGCCGATGCAAATCCACTGAGCCAAACCGGTTTCGGCAGACCCTATATAATTTAGTCACTGTACACTTCTACTGCAAGATAAAGAAACATTCCCAACAACAACAAAAAAGAAACATTCCCTGCATTGCATTCATTCTCTTTGTACATACTTAAATAAAATGCCTACCACACTAAACTACAACAAAATATGTTCTTCCTCCAAATGATGATCCTCTTGACAAGATATAACTATAACTTATTTATATTTTTATCTCCACCAAGTGGCACAAGATTATATTTTAAATGCTTGTTGAACAAACAAATCAGTTACTAGAAAGAAGGGAAGGAAAAAAAAGGGGGAAATAACATGAGATAGTTTTTACCTGCACAAGTTCATTGAGGACTACAGCATCAAAGCCAGAAAGGTACTGCACATAATACCTCTGCATTACAGGTCCGTATTTCCTTACATGTGCTCTAAGCTCTTCCATGTAAAATATCAATTCAGCAATGTGCCTTTTTTTAAAAATTCAAGACAAACATTTCAAAAAATAAATTTATTGTTATCAAGGAAAATGTGAAAAGTTATTTTTAGAAAAATTACTGTTAAACATTTAATGCCATTATGTTTTTAAATTATTTAATATCAATAAAGAAAGCAAAAGAAAAGCTAAGACTAAAAAGCTGATAGAGGAAAATCCAAAATGAACTTATTAGAACATCTCATAAATAATCATTTTTAAATCACAAATTAAAGGGACTGGGAAGAAATAAGACTTTTCTTATTTCTCTGCTTCATTTATCTAACTCCTCGTTAAGGGATTTGACAGAATTGATAGGAAAACATTTCAAATTTTAGCTAAAGGATTTGGTTGCAACTCCGTAAGGATTCTTAAATATGAATTCCATAGGAAAGTCACTGGGTATAGCCAAAAAACAAGAACTTTATAATCACCTAAAGTATTAGAAAAGGGAACATTAAAGCCATAATTTTAAACTCAGGTTGACTTTACATTCTAATTCATATCACCTAATGAATGCTATGTTACAAATATGCATAACAAATATGAAAAGCCCTAAAACAGTTTTTAAAAATAATTTTACTTCAAAGGCCCCAAATTCCAGTTACAAATCAAAATATACAAAAAAAAAAAAGTTTTAATTGTTGTTAACTTACTTATCTATAAAGTCATCTGCACTCTTCTTTGGCATGTTATCTGCATGACGAAGCAGCCAGATAATTTCATCACGGGCAAAGGATAATGCCATAAAAACAAAAAGTGCCTAATTAAAAAAAAATACAAAAACACTGTTTAATCTCACACAAAGATTAAAAACAAAACCTATTCGTAGTCTTTCTCTAAGTGAAAAGTCATTGCCAAGAATTGATAAAATCAAGTTAAAAAACACAGCGCACAGACAGAAAGGAGATGACCGAAGAGAAGTTGAAAGTACGTATCAGAGAAAGCATACATATAAGCAAGAAGTGAGAGCAATGCAGAATTGTGCAGTTGACATAGAATTAAGTAAATTACCTTGGGACCTAGCAAGCCAGGTTGATCAGAGAGGACTGTAGCCAATTCTTTCAGTGCAGACCTTAAAAATTTGCGTCTTTCTCTATGCATTGAACCACTAGAGGAAAAGATACTATTATATTCTATCTGATTTTTACTAAAATTATTAATGACAATTAAATAAGTTATTATTTTAGGGTGAACATACAAAGTCTTTTTTTATGAAGCAGAAACCCCTTACAAATATCATCTTTGATGTGCTTGCCATTAAGTGACTTCCCAATTTTACATTTATACTTGCCTTTCTTGTGCTGCTTTTTGTAACCATGGTTGGTCTATTATTCTTCACCTATCAAAATACTACATCCAAACTTCAAGACCAATCCTGCAAGAAGCATTTCCCAATATCCAGATGTCTATTTCTGAATAATTCCTGCAATTTTAGTACCAGATAGCCTAAGCATTTTATAAACTGGACTATGAAATCCTCCAAAGCAATTACTGTTCTCCTATATATATATTTTTGTCACCCCTACATAAAAATAAATAAATATAACAATAAATATCTAATTTTCCATGTTCTCATTTACTAAGTGTATTCCTATTACATATAAAAAACTGTCAAAACAAGAGCTATATTCAATAAAAATATTGGGATGAGATCTATTTGGTCTCTTACTCAAAAAACAGAAAGACGAAGAAGGAAAAGGATAATCATAAATATTCATATACTAGGTATTTCAATGAAATGCAAAGTAGAAAAAAGTTATTTTCACATATTAACATGGGGAAAAAAATCATAAAATGTTCTAAGTATTCCAACTCGTCATATTATGCAAAATATTCAAAACTTCAAGAAAGTTTTAAAATGTATATAGGTGCAAAAAATAAGTGGACACACACAAAAATATACAAAAAAAAGTATCAGTAATATGCAATACCAGAAATTTAGCTGTGAGACAGATCAGTTTGAAAAGACAGATTAAAATCTCACTATCTATGTGACCTTATGTTCTATCTCTCTCTGTTTCAGCCATCTATAAAACACAGATAATGACACCTGCCTCAGAAGATACATCTTTCATAATGCTCAGATATAGTACTTTGTTATAAGATAGCGGCGGTAAGAGACTTGAAAGATACCTAAACTAAAAGTCATTTGTATGGTACTACCTTAGAGCATTTTCATCTCACTGCAAAAATAATTAAGATCTGTCTACACTAATTCTAAAGTTACTAGAAACTGAGGTTATATACTTATTTCCTATTGATTATAAGTCCTCCATTTCTGCTCAGCCAGTATTGCTCAGTGGTCGAGCATTGACCCATGAACCAGGAGGTCATTGTTTGATTCCCATCAGGGCACATGCCCAGGTTGCAGGCTCAATCCCCAATAGGAAACATGCAGAAGGCAATCAATCAATGATTCTTTCTCATCAATGATGTTTTTATCTGTCTCTCCCTTTCCCTTCCTCTCTGAAATCAATAAAAACATATCTTTAATTTTAAAAGTCCTCACTTCTATTAATTTTACCATCAATATGAACTCACTTCAACAAAATGCTTTAAGAAATTCTTCTTGATTAAAATATCACAGATATGATAGAAGTACTTACGCATGTGACACAGCCGCCTCTTTGCATTCTCTTATGTCATTAATACGTTTGTTATAGCTATGTGCAAAAAAAAAAAAAGTTGGAAACATGTTGATCTTAATTTGAGCAATAAGTCAAAATAATGTAATCAAATACTAAAAGCTGGTTAGAACGGACATGTTATCAACAAGAAAAATGCCCTCAAACTTGAAATGCATGGAAGGGGTCTACCCACATCTTTCGTAGTCAGCACCTTATGTATCCAGAAAAGGCTTCCTAGATAAATTTCATAATATATTAGGTCCAACAATAAGGTTCACAATGTAGATTTTTACTTTATTAAATATATTCCCTTAAGCTCCAATAAAGACATTAAAATCATACTTCTGATGTAATTAACAGTTGTTTCCAAAACTTTAAAGTGCTGACAAAGCTATTACACTTCAGACTTTTTGTCACTTCTAACTTTATGCTATCTCAAAAGCATTAAAAAAAATTCTGAAAGGACATATACTTGTGATCAATACTAAAGATTACTTAAGGATAGGGGCTCTGTGATGGAGAACACTGGGGCTGGAAAGCATTTGATTAAATTAAATGAAATAAAACCAACATCAATTAAAGGTGCCATCTGAAAAATAAATTCTAATAAATATATGCCAACTTCATGAATACTAAATACAAAAACTCAAAATTCCTCAAATATGAAAGAAAACCTATCTTCCTGAAAACCTGGCTAAAACCACTTGATTTTAAGAACTTCAACTTCTAAATTAAGAATTCTAAGATTTATGTGTTCTCTGAGCATGTGTCCAAAACATACTAATTATATAATCACTGTCATTTATAATTAATAAACTTTTATAATTATAGTCTGACCACTCACTATTTAAAAATTAAAACTTTTCAACTTTAAATAGATATTTAAATGGTAAATTTATAATTTAAAAAAGCATAACCAAAAGAAAACTCATTATATGGTGTCACAAACTTACTTGTATCATACATATAACATAAGGTCACTCAATATACACAGACTACCTAGTTATAAATGTTTATATATATTTAAATGATTCTATATCATATTGTCAATATAAGACATTATACAATTTCATGATTTGCAATCTGAATGAATTAGAAAATGACAGGCCTATATGACAGGGTATTTCTGGGAACTCCACTGTCTAAAATAAAAACTGAATTAAGACCTGAAAAGTACATATGGTACTGTTTCACATAGAATGACTGAGAAACTATTTGCATGAGAATGTCAGTATCACCTACAGTGGCAGAAATCCAAACAGTGGTCACTTGAAAAAGAGGGTGAGTAGAGGTTGACAATACTAATCAGAAAAAAAGCACCAGAGAATTTTCTGGATATAATGGATATGTTCTATATCTTGATCTAGGATAATTTATATGCAAATCAATTGAGTTTTGCATCTAAAATGTGTACCTTCTGTGTGCAAATTTTGGGCAGGGGCAGATTCCTTCAACCTCTCCGAGATACAGGAGATACAGATATAGGAGATAGAGGAAGTGAGGAATGATACCCAGGATCCTGGATTTTAGGTCACATCCCAGGGTAATTCTTACGCACATTAAAATTTGAGACATATTGGTTAAATTGTGAGTATTAAACATAGCTTTATTTTTTAGTAACTAATGGATGCCTTATATTTATCTCAATTTAATTAGGGCATTAGTAAATAGGATAATAAATAAATGTAATAAATTTAATTTCTACCTGAAACTAACAAGCCCAGCATAACATTTCCAGGGATACCAGGATATTTTAGATGTTCCTAATTTCAAAATATTTCATAATTGCTACCAAGTCTGAGCTCAACTTAGCTCTTATATATTGGCTACAGGACATCATGTGGAAAGAAATGCAAGCATTAAAAATTTCAAGGAACAGCCAAAACCGGTTTGGCTCAGTGGTAGAGCATCGGTCTGCGGACTGAAAGGTCCCAGGTTAGATTCCGGTCAGGAGCATGTACCTTGGTTGCGGGCACATCCCCGGTAGGGGGTGTGCAGGAGGCAGCTAGTCGATGTTTCTCTCTCATTGACGTTTCTCTATCTCTCTCCCTTCCTCTCTGTAAAATATCAATAAAATATATTAAAAAAATTTTTTTCAAGGAACAAATTTATGAACATTATTTACTTTACAGAAAATGAATGTAAATAAGTTATTTGGAAAACTCTACTAAAGGGAAACACGATTTCCTAAATGCAGCAGTCTGACTTCTGTAATTGTTATAATTAATAAGACACTCCTGATTAATTCATATACTATTATAAGTACACTAAATCTAAAATAGCACTTTTAAAAAGTTCAAAACAGTGTGGTGACTGGGGGGAGGGGGGAAGTGGAAGTGAAAGAAGGCATAGAGGGGATAAATGGTGATGGAAACCATTTTTTTATAAGTTCATAACTCTAAAATGTATATGGTGGTTTTCTTAGTACTATTTTTGTCTAAAACCTATTATGATTTACAAAAGAGGACATACCTTCTTTCTCCTAGAACACAAGTTTTAAAAGGGAAGGAATATTAGGTATTTTAACCTGTGAAGTTACTTGTAAAAAATATGAATAATACCATATCAGGATGATTGTTGAAAACAACATGCTTATGACTGGTAAGATGGTACAGGCAATATTTTCTTGTATGATACGACCCTTTTCTATCCCCAAAACTTCAATAAAGATAATCCACTCACTATCCTATCCAAAAAGACAAAAACAGTGAAGATGCCATACCCTCGTATGTTTACAAATAAGTCTTCTGCAGCTTTGTGAATGTGGAAAACTTCATCCCGAAAGAGAGAGAGGCAAGAGCTACTTTGAAGAGCTAACTTCCAAAGATTCAGTGCTGTTGCATCAGTATTGAGGATCCCGTGGCACAAAATAAAGCCAACTTAAAAAGAAAAAGAAAAGTAAATACAAATGTAAAAATTTTACAAAGTTAAGTTCTTTCAGTTATAAAATAGCTTTTCAAAAATTCAGGGAAGTAAACACAATCACTAAATTAAGGCTTTTAAGTGACCGGTCATAATTCATATACAGACAAGATGGCAATAATATTGCTCTTTCAATAATTTTCTATATTCTGCAAAATTAATTCTTTGGACCCAGACTGACCAAAAAAAGGGCGAGGGGGGAAGGGAGGAGAACACTTCTGGGTTGTGAAGAAAGTCCTTTTAATGAATTGACTAAAAGACATTTTCAGAAATACTTATAAAATATTTTAAGTCAGCCCCAGCTGGTTTGGCTCAGTGGATAGAACATTGACCTGCAGACTGAAGGGTCCTGGGTTCGATCCCAGTAAAGGCCAGATGCCTGGGTGGCAGGCTCAACCGCCAGTATGGGCCATGCAGGAGGCAGCCAATCAATGATTCTCTCTCGTCATTGATGTTTCTCACTCTCTCTCTCCCTTTTCCTTCATCTCTGAAATCAATAAAATTATATTTTTTAAAATAATAAATGAAAATATTGTAAGCCTGAGATCAGATACTAATTAAAACATAATATTCATCATAGTTGTTTCAATTAATGAAAAATAAAGCCAATCTATTTTTCTAAATCACCAAAATAAATGAAATAGCATCTTGCATTTTCATAGCAATTTATAGTTTATTAAATAATTTTTTTCACACATTTTCTCATGTGATTCTGTGGAATAGATAGAGCAGGTAAGTGTTCTTTCACAGATAAAGAAATGAATGATCAATGACTTAACTGGTTATACTATTAAATTAGAGCTAGATTTAGCCTCAACTATTATATTTACCCTTAAAATTCTTTCAATATATTATGCTGCTCTCTCTGTTATATGAATTCAAATACCTTACACCTTTTATTATTTACCTTGGAAATCCTATACAAAAGTGTAACAATCCTATATATGTTTGTTGATGTTCTTTCTAGCCCTATATAATAGGCCATAAACCCTCTACTTTCATTCATTCAACACTTACTCAATGCCTGGCCAGTTACAAATCAACCCTGTTGTCTGTGAGATTTCCCTACAATTCTTAATAGTCACTCCCTTCTTTAAACTCTTGTATTATTAACACATAACTTGCCATTTACCTTTTTATTCTTAGTTCAACCATCCTTTAAAAGTGCCACTAAACAAGCAAGCTAGCTCTTTAAATAGCCATTTACTAGTAGAGTCTGTACATATAGAAGTATATTTAACTTCCTTGAATTTCCTGTAACATATAAAAATATTTTTCATATAATAGGGCCCCTACAAGCAAGCCAATTATTTGATCTGGTATGCAACTAAAGAAACAGAATACATGTACAGATACTGAAAGAATCCTCCAGAGAAATTTTGTTTATATTTTTTATTCAACATATTAACTTTTAACTCTTAAGCCTGAGTAAAATAAGATTAACTTAATATCCTACATCTTATTGTATACTTAGATTTCACCAAATTGCTGCTGATAAAAGGTTTCTATGAAAATATCAGTTATATTATGGATTAGCATATATTTTATTTTCTTAAGACAGGTTATATTATGAATTAAAGCATATTAATTTATGATAGAATAAAAATAATTTAAAATCAACTGTCCAAGATTAAAAGAATAGTTTATTAATTAAACTACATTAAACACCTTTTCCTACCAAGGTATGAATGAAAGGATAAAAAAAATGTTTTTTTTTATTTTCAAGCCATAAAAATGTTGAACAAAACTAGACAAGAAAGTTAAAGAAAATCTTTGAAGATAGAAAGTAGATAAAACTGGACTATCAAGTTGAAAAGAGATGGGAACCTTTCTGTCTCTCTCCCTTCCCTCTCTCTCTCTGCCCACCCTCCCATTCCTCCTCTCCCTCCCATACTCTCTCTGAAAAGCAATGGAAAGAATATCCTCAGGTGAAAATTAACAACAACCAAAAAAAGGGCAGGAATTAGTAACCCAAAACTCCAGAAATAAAGAGAAATCTTTCCCTATGAGTCCTCTGAGTCCAACCAACTGAGCAAGAATAAACCCTTTTAAGAACATCAGGATAGCCGAAACCGGTTTGGCTCAGTGGTAGAGCGTAGGTCTGCAGGCTGAAAGGTCCCAGGTTCGATTCCGGTCAAGGGCATGTACCTTGGTTGCGGGCACATCCCCGGTAGGGGGTGTGCAAGAGGCAGCTGGTCAATGTTTCTCTCTCATTGATGTTTCTAGCTCTCTATCCCTCTCTCCTCCTCTCTCTAAAAATTCAATAAAATATATATTTTTTTAAAAACCATCAGGATAAGTTATTTTATAATTGCACTTCAAATACATGGGTCCTCAATATTCTAAGCCTTCCATAACTCTCAGCCCCAGGCTATAAACTAGATCAGTGATTTCAAACTTTAGCTTGCATCAAAATTGCCTGAACGTCTTGTTAAAACACATTGCTGGATCCATACAGAGTTTCTTTTTTTTTCTTTTTTTTAATATATTTTATTGATTTTTAACAGAGAGAAAGGGAGAGAGAGAGAAAGCTAGAAATGTCGATGAGAGAAAAACATTAACCAGCTGCCTCTTGCACACCCCCTACCGGGGATGTGCCTGCAACCAAGGTATGTGCCCTTGACCGGAATCGAATCTGGGATCTTTGAGTCCGCAGACCGACGCTCTACCACTGAGCCAAACCGGCTTCGGCCCATACAAAGTTTCTGATTCAATAGGTCTAGAGTGGAGATCAAGATTCTGCATATCTAAGAAGGTTCTATTCGATGCTGCTGGTCCAGGGAATACATTTTGAACTAACAAAAAACAAAGCTCTAAAGAAAGTAGACCATCATGAGTAGAAAAGTCCTTATGTGGGAACTGGGATCAAAAAGAGAAAAACAGTGTTTGAAATAACTCTTTACCTTTATATTAACTCTATTCAAGGGTCAAATACATGAAAGCAGCAAAACTCAGAGTAAACCTTTACCATGGCACCTACGGTTATCCCAAATCTGTCTGCCTCCTTCTCCATGCCCACATGTGCTCCATTAGAGTAGCCTGCCTTCTGACCCACCTCCCTGCTCACCATACAAAGCCCATTTAAGGAAAAAGACTAGGGGCAATAGTGCTGTATAACTCTACGTCTACTAATCACCCCAGTTCTTCAGTTATACATACATAAACATAAAGAAACCAAGGATCACTGCACATTTGAGTACTTCAAAAGCTGTGTTTCTAAATCAACTAATAGACAAAGCATGAAAATCTTAACTACTGTTATAGGAAAACATAAATATCACAAACCCAATCAATATAAAAATAATAATAAAATGGCTAAAAGGCCCTAGCTGGTTTGGCTCAGTAAACAGAGCATCAGCCTACAGACTGAAGGGTCCCAGGTTCAGTCAAGAGCACATGCTTGGGTTGCAAGCTCAATCCCCAGTAGGGGGCATGCAGGAGGCAGCTGATCAATGATTCTCTCTCATCATTGATGTTTCTATCTCTCCCTCTCTCTCCCTTCTCTGAAATCAATAAAAATATATATTTTTTAAATGACTAAGTGTAGGGAGCCTGTGCTAAATTCTACCTCTTTCATATTAATGGGTACAAAGTGCCAGTGCATGAGACTAAGCAGAGAAATAGTGTTTACAAACGTTCATAAAAGTTTGAGTGACTTATGGCCAAAACCGGTTTGGCTCAGTGGTAGAGCGTCGGTCTGCGGACTGAAGGGTCCGGAGTTCGATTCCGGTCAAGGGCATGTACCTTGGTTGCGGGCACATCCCCAGTAGGGGGTGTGCAGGAGGCAGCTGGTCGATGTTTCTCTCTCATCGACATTTCTAGCTCTCTATCCCTCTCTCCTCCTCTCTGTAAAAAATCAATAAAATATATTAAAAAAAAAAAAAGTTTGAGTGACTTATGAATAGAAACTTAAGAATCTAATTGTAAAATTAAATTTAATCATTAAAAATCTGGGCTTTTATTTTGTGTCTTTGCTTATTGCTTTATTTCTGATCATTCTAGTAATTCATTTCTATTGTTTTCTTTTTTAATGATATTTGGATTTTATAAAAGCATCAATCCAAAAATCATTAAAAAAGAAAACTGGTCTTTCACTATAGACAAACACTGTAATAAAAAATAGTTTCTAAAGTTTAATAAATCAAGAAACAAGAATCGTAAGAACTAAAAAACACAAACTGCTCAAAATTAATCCCCTCCATTAGTGGACATGGGGTAACAGCAGTTCTCATTTTGTATTAAATCTGTGTCTCTATATCTACTTCCCCATAAGTTTGTGAACTTCATAGGGGCAGAAATCAGTAGGAATTTTTCCCCTGCATCTAAAGAACTGCCAAATATATGAATCATTTATTGTATGTTCTGAAGAGAATACCAAAAACTTAACTAATAAATGAAATAATTTAAAAATTATTTAAAAACAAAATAAAAGCTATGTTGAGAGGCAATGTAATGTAGACAATGAACCTTTGAGTTAGCCTGGTCACTGTCAGTTACTAGCTGTGTGGATTAAGTTTTAGGTTTCTTATCTATAAAACATACCATCTACCCTACCAGGATTAGTATGAGAACTGAATGAGGTAATGCACATAGGCTTAGCAATGTGCTTGCCACAGAAGTAATATGTATTACATGTTATTTTTTTTCTAAAACTTAAAACCTGAGGGATAATCACTAATTTTACTTACAGATAATCCATTTTTCCATTGCATCCAAAGAGAGATATTCACAAGGCATCTTAAAAAGAGAAAATATAAATCTGTGTTTAAAGGAAATTCTTAAAAACAAAACAACCAATATTGAATCACTCTCCTCTGACTTCTTTTCAGAATTCTCACGACTCAATTCTTGGCTCAAATACCCCAACAAATTTTAAAAGTTGGGTAAAAGTTTTATAACACATACTTAAAATTGCAGTCCATAAAGGACAGTAAGAGCTGTGCTCCTTTCACATTTACATAACACCTCCTCCTTAAAAAGTAATGTTGCTAAATTATATTCAATGTAATAAACGGCAACTCCCAGACTTCCCAAGTCTAGTTCAGAATTTGTGGTATTCCAAAAGATAAAATTTTAGTCAAGTTAAAAAAAAAATTATGTAAATGAGTGCTCACTGTCTCACTCAAATCAGTAATTATGTGTGTGCATTTTCCACATACATAACATCTATATTCATACACACAAATATTAAAAAGAAAAATAACAGCATATAACAATTTTCTCTAGCTGATAAGATTTAGGAAATTTTTTGTTTTTTTTTTCTTGATAAATTTCTGCATCTTCTAAATTTCCACCATAATAAGACTAAAAAACCTTTTAAACTTTAAAAGAAAATACTCATCCTACTAATTGTATTAACTTGGCATCAGAATCTAGAAATAAAAGTACTAAATAGTACAACTTAATTATTGAGCATTTACAATGAACTTCACTATAGGCTAGTACTAATTAGAATATTGCAATAGCACTGCTTAACTCATTTTTTTTAAAAATCAATTTTACTATTTTCATTTAAAAAGGGAAAAGTAGAATCATACAGTATCAGACTGTGCAGGATTAAGCATTGTACTGGGTGCACTGATGAGACTCAATAATTGGGCATTTCTCCACTGGTCGGCTGAAAGATTCCTTCGAGGATACACCATCTGAAGAGAAATCAGTGCATCTGAAAGAGACTAATTAAAATAGAAGAAAAAATATTGAGGAATAAAATTTCTTTTTCCTTCTCCATTTAAATTCTAGTTATAGCTGCTGTGCATTTCCAATTGTACCATCCCAAAACAACACAGACTAATTACAACTATGCTTTTTTAAATCTGAGGTTGTCCCAGCAATCCTCCTCTAGTTTGTTTTTGCTTGTTTTTTTTATCCTCACCTGAGAATATGGTTATTTATTTCAGAGAGAGGAAAAGAGGAGGAGGAGAAGGAGAAGGAGGAGGAGGAGGAGGAGGAGGAGGAGGGAGCACGCGAGACAATGATACAAGATTGAACCTAAAATCTTTTGGTATATAGAAGGACATTCCAACCAACTGAGCCACACGGACGAGGGCCAGATCTTGTTTTCTTTACTTCACGAAAGCAACATAAATTCTGCCTTCCTGGGTTAAGAGCTTAACTCATGAAATCATGTTACTTTTTTAAAGGTCAGAATGTTTGGAAATTTTAGGATCTTTATTTTAAAGAGGTAGAGAACCTACTGTCTGTCATGGTTGTACACTGATCGTTCTCACTGAGGAAAAGACATTGGGGTTATGTGATTGTTGCTAGAGCTCAACATCCTATTTAATAAAAGGCTAATATGCAAATCAACAGAACTAGCAGTCCTAGAGTATCAGGTATTTGCTAGGATTCATTAAAAAGAAATTAATTTTAATTTAATTAACTTAATGGTGTAGTATAATTGTAATACAGATTCTTGGGCTCTATTCCCAGAGATTCTAGTTCACTAAATTTTAGATGGAGCTCCGTATTCTGTATTCTGAACAAATTCCTCTAGCAATTTATATGCAGCCAGATTAAAACATCATTACAGAATTTTTAGGAAGCAGAGATAAATAGCGAAGAACAACTAAAAAGCATGAAGCAGATGAGATGAAACATAAAACATTTTTATTGACATCTGTACTAATAAAAGGGTAATATGCTAATTAGATTGGGTCGACCAGACATATTTTGGTTGTCCTGCCTTCCTTTCCGACAAAGCCACAGTGGCAGGGGCTGAGGCAGAGGCAGTTAGAGGTGAGATCAGGCCAGTGTGGGGGAGCAAGCAGTTAGGGGTGTGATCAAGCTGGCAGGGGAGGGCAGTTGGGAGCAATGAGGCTGGTAGGGGAGCAGTTAGGCGGCGATCAGGCTGGCTGGGGAGTGGCTAGGGGGCGATCGGGCTGGCAGGCAAAGGCAGTTAGGTAGGCTGGAAGGCAGGCGAAAGGTTAAGAGCCAAGTGGTTGGCAGACTGGGACTCGAGAGCCACATGTGGTTCTTTGGCCCCTTAAGTGTGGCTCTTTCACAAAATACCACGGCCTGGGCAAGTCCATTTTGAAGAAGTGGTGTTAGAAGAAGTTTAAATTTAAAAAATGTGACTCTCAAAAGAAATTTCAATCGTTGTACTATTGATATTTGGCTCTGTTGACTAATGAGTTTGCCGACCATTACTCTAGGGTATCATGAGGCATCAGAAAAATCAAGATTAGAAAAGAAGTGGTTTAATCCAAATAGTAAATTCTCCTTAAGTAATTATGAATAGTCCAGTATATGTTAATGACTATGGAAAACTTAAAGAAGCAAATCTGGTATTAACTATTTGTCAAAAAAAAAAAAAAAAAAGCATAGATTAATACAAAATACCTTGTTAAAATTCTTTCAGCACCCAAAAAGAACAATGAACCAAGATACAAATACCTTAGGATTTAGTTCTAATTTTGCCACTATTTCTGCTAAACAGCTTATCATATCATTTCTCCAGCCTTCGATTTCCTTATCTATAATAAGAATGTATGAGCTAACTACAAATTTCCTTAATGTACTTAGGTACTCTGGTTCTTTGAATTAGCACTACTGCAGAAAAATAATAATAGTAAGACTCCTTAGAACCAAAAGTATTTCATTAAGAACTATTTTTTTAATATATCGTAAAAAACAGGCTTTTCAAATTATTTCCATAAAACTCGTGTAATATTTTTTCTCACTAAGAGACTATATTATAATATTAGAGGCTCGGTGCATGAAATTCTTATACGGGTAGGGTCCCTAGGCCTGGGTGATGATCAGTGACAATCTGTGGGATGACCAGAAGGGTAATCAGGGGCCCCTGCTGGCACCTACCTTGGCCAGCCTGGTGCAGCCCATTTACCAGTCAGCCCACCCTCTGCCATCGCCTACTCCAGGCTGGCCCTGCCCCCTACCTCCAGTCACGTCCCTCTGTGGGGCGACTGGTGGGGCAATCAGGGGGCCCCCCTGCTGGCAACCCCAGTTGCCTGGGGCCTGAGGGCAACTCCTACGTTGAGCGGTTGCCCCCTAGTGATCAGTGCAGGTCATAGCAACTGGTCATTCCACCAGTCATTCCACTGTTTGGTCGACTTGCATATTAGGCTTTTATTATATAGGATTGCTAAAATTTATCATGTACTATATATATAAATACTTTTAATGAAGTAACTAATTTAATCCTCATAATAATCTTATGAAGTAGGTACTATTATTACTCCATTTTATAGATAAGAAAACTGATGTATAGTGAAGTTGGTTAAGTAACTTGTCCAATATTGCACAGTTAGTAATTGGCAGAATGGGATTAATGCCCAGGCAGTCTGGTATGATATGAGATGTTCTCAAATACTATACTTCATTACCTCTACACCCTATATTAAGTCTAAAAATATAATGGATCAATATATTCCTGAGTTTCTATATACTATTGAAAATCTAACTAATTAGTTCTCTGGTTCACATTTAGATAAAATCATGCATAGCTATTATTTATATCTTATTATAATTTTTCCTGAGAGTTTATTAATTAGATAAAGCATGCATAGCTATTATTTCTATCTCATTATAGCTTTTTCCTAAAAGTTCATCACTTTATCTAACTATCCACATTTAACCTATATCACATGCCAATCAAAGGCCTTTTAAAAACTAGCTCTTACCTTACTATGGGGCACAAATTCTTCCATCATCTTCTTTAAAGGGTTTTCATAATCCACAATCATCTGACCAAGGCGTGGATATTCTCGGTCACTTAAAATAAACACATCAAATTTCACTGAGCTGTAAGCCACCAAATTGAGAATTTCACAAAGATTTTTATGATGCAGGGCTACCTTGCTCCATGGGTCATTTCATGAGCGTAGTTGTACAATCCAATGATTGCCTTCCTTTCTTCAATTCGAGAGAGCAGTATCATTAGTGTTGTATAGGTTATGATCAAATCTAAGTAGTTCTTTGTTAAATCAAAGTTTACAGTCTGGGGAAAAAATATATCAAGTTTAACTCCTTCCTATTTTACAAACTTTTAAACACACATATACACACAATAATCTTTATGGCAGCTATTGAAAGCTAATAATTTTCTGTAGTTATTTATTTTATTCCCATTTCTGAAATTCTAATTCATTTCACCAAAGACAAGTAAAATCTGGGAGTTAAAAATAGAGTTTTGTGTTTGTGACACAATTTTATGGAATTGAAAAAGAATTCATTATCGCCCTATTCAAACTAATAACAGTTTAAAAGAATAATCAAAACCAACATAATATGAAACACTGGAGCCAGTCTCACTAAGCAAGAAAAAGGAGTGTTAAGTAAATGAAAAAATTCATCACTAAGTCAATGGAGACATTTTTCACTTTGACTTCCTATATTTATAAACCATCTCACTGAGAAAGATTCTATCAAGTATGCCTTTTACAGAGGAAAATATTATCCACTTAACTTTGCTTCCTTGGACCTAATAAAATAAAGTGCTAAAATTAACAACTACTTTCCAATATGCACAAGACTTATATTCAGTGACAACCAAATAAACAAGGTAAAAAGAGAATGCATCTTAACTCCTTATCTTGAAAAACAGTGCAAAACAATCCAAACTAACAATGCTAAAACTTAATATACATATCATAAATGTTCTCTAAAGAAAAGCATTCGGTCCCTTTGGTTCTACTAGGAATAGAAAGAATTGGGAATTTTTCTGAAAATAATACTTACTATATCGAAGAAGACCTGGCAAACATCCATAGTATTGAGCAATTCACAAACATGGTCCTAAAAATAAAAGGTTACTTTAATCTTTACTTATATAAATAATATTAACTTCAGGAAACACAAATAAAATATATTTTAGAATTTAGTTCTAGAAGAATTCTAATGTTATTATCTACAAATGACAAAACATTGCAAAGTTAACAAATATCAAGTCAACCTCAGAAATGTTAAATTTTATGTACTATAATGCATACCTTAAATTCCATGACATCTACAAATGTGAAGTAATATAATGCCAAATTTTTCAGAATCTCCGATTTTTCTTTCTGTAGCTGTGCAAGCTGTTGCTGTAAACACAAAATCAAAATGTACTGTTCACTGAGAACAAAAAATATTTAATTTTATTACAAATTATCTTCTTTTATGATTGCTATATGAAAACACAAGCTTTTAGAACAGTATTTCTAGATGATAAACATTTTTTTTAAAAAGCCGAAATACTTGAGACAGCAACTGCTAATAGTGATCAGCAACTGACAGTGTGAGGCTATAAAACAAACCAAAGCAGATTAGTACCAAACTGAACTACTATTAAGGAAAATATTAGGAAAAAATAATTTTCAAATAAACTTTTTTAAAAAATTAAAAACAACTCATGAGCATGATCACATTACTAGAAGTAGAAGAAAAGAAGGTGAAAAACATTGTAACTTACACTACAAAAAACAACATTATAAATTTGTAACTTACCAAAAAGAACATCCAGGCAAAGCCACGTTACGCATGCAAAATAAAATGTAGATACAAACATAAAATACAGTAAAGGTTCCCTGACCAAATCCACAAAACACAATAATACATTAAAAAAAGCAAAACACCACAACAAAAAAGAAATGAGAAAGAAGCAAAACTAGAGTTAAGACACTGGTAAAACATATGAAAGAGGGAAATGTGAATACAAAGACAATTATTATTTCAATCAATTGTATTATTAAATTTATAAGTCCTAAGTTTTCTTTTTAAAACAACTACTGATATAATTTTTTTTTGGGGGGGGGGTAGAATCCTGCTATATTTAATGTCCTATATCATAAGACTGCAAGAATTCCAATAAAACACTTAGAACATTGATACTGAGTGTAGTCTACAGAACAGTTTCCACATCATTTAGACACTTATTAGAAAAGCAGAATTTCTGGCCAACCTCAGACCTACTAAATCAGATTCTGCCTTTTAACAAGAAGTCTAGTGATAGGAATGTACATTAAATGTCTGAGAATCACTAAACAAGAAAACATGGGAAAGTGATTCAATATCAAATTTGCTACAAAAGCCCTTACAATGTTGAGGTTCTCTTACAGTTCTTTGTTATACTTACACAGGGAGCTGGGAAAAGAGGTCTCTCTGTACATAATTGCATTAAACCATTATATAAGCAAGAATATTCAAAATAGTGAGCATAACATCAAGAAAAAATTCAAAAAACTTTAGGACTATTTAAAACAGCAAGCACAGCAGTCTGATAGACCTACTATTACAAAATAAACTACCCTAAATACTACAGTCCCTAAAGCTATTTAAAGAAGTAATTATGTCTGGAAAACGTGCCTAAATAAAGTATCTCATTTCATCCCCCAAGTGTCAAAATAAGGTATCCTATATAATAAAAGCCTAATGTGTCCGATCATTTGACCAGGCACTATGACGAGCACTGACCACCAGGGGAAAGACGCTCCAACCGATAGGTTAGTTTACTGCTGGTATCTGGCCAAATGGGACTAGACAAGATGGCCGGACATGCCCTGGAGCTTTCCCACAGTCCCTCTCCAACTCTGATAGACCCCAATCTGGACTGGATGGGATGGACCAGACACACCCTGGAGCCAACCTCCTGCTGTCCCTCTCCTGCCTCTAAAATATTTCTTCTAATTAATTTCTTTATGTGCACAAATCTGTGTACATAAAGAAAATTAATTAGTATACTTATACTAGTGATAAGTACCTATTTTTAGCTTTATCTATGAAACAGTTTACTTTGTTTTGAACAATATTATCTTTTTCAAAATAATTATATATTTATATATAATTTTTAATCCTTACCATTCACAACATCAAAAATACTTTAAAGTGATTCTATTTCATTAGATTATACTACCTTTACCTTGTTCAACATAAAACATTTGTGATTAATGTTGTAGTCCTTTTTCCTCCTTTTCAGAATTTTAAACTTCAGTTTTAAAAATATAATAGATGAAAGTAGACTCATAATAACAGAATAAGAAGCAAGAGTATAATTTAGTTGCTACTGAGCTTAATTATTAATAGTGCCTCCTTTCCATTTCAATTCTAATTTGGACAAAAAAATGACACAGTTCCCATATACTTTTTATGGGCCTTAATGAACTTTTATACAAACCTTCATTTTACATACTCAGACCTTACTGCCCCCAAAACTTGAAAGAACCTTCCCAAGGTTTTATAACTATTTAATTGCAAGACCAGGATTAAAAATTTCATCTCCTTATTCCTAAAAAACAAAATATTCTCCCCACATTCTATACGCCCAATACCCTCCTTGTTAATTAAACATCATTATGGTCTAAATTTCTCATTCAACTTTATTTCCCCTAAAACCATATATAACTGGCCTCAATGGTGGCTAAATAATTTACTGAACTAATACACGTCTGAATTCAAAATAGTCAAGTTTTCAAGGCCCTACACATTTTGGCCCTAATTTACCTTTCCAATTTAAATTTCTCCTACATCCACTCATATGTTATACACTGTATCCAAAAATATTCACTATTTTTCTGTATGTATCTCATGTTTTCTTTTCTCTATTAAGGTATCCTAATTCTACCACTTATACCAGTATAATATGTGTGTGTGTGTGTGTGTGTGTGTGTGTGTGTGTGTATATATATATATATATATATATATATTTTACACTTAAAATGTTAACCACATTTTCAAGAAAACCACCCTGACTGAACATCTTCCCTGAATGTAAATAACTTCTCCCTCCTTTCAACGTGTATAATTTCTAATAGTATCACTTTCTGCCTTATATTCCAGCTATCTCCAACATATAAGACAGTGTACCAAATTTGATTTTTTAACCTCCATAACCCCTATCTTACAGCTCTGCAAATAAACATCAATCAGATGAGTGATCATAACAAATTTAGAAGACTTTTACATGTCCCTGTCAGATGACATGTTTTGGTGATAATGCTAAAAAGCCTACCTCCTATTATGCCACTATAGCTAAATGACTTAACCATTCAGAGCCTAATTCCCTCATCATAATGGAAAATGATGTGTACAGTTAGCCAAGATAATGTACATGAGGACATCTACCAATGCCTGGCACCCAAAAATGGCTCATTAAATATTAAGTAAATATCAAATAAAGCTCACAAATCACTTAAAAATAAGCAAAAATAAAGTTTCTTTATTTTAATTTTTAATATTTTTATTGATTTCAGAGAAGAAGGGAGGGAGAGATAGAAATACCAATGATAAGAATCACTGACTGGCTGCCTTTTGCAGGCACCCCAATAGGGATTAAGCCCACAAACCAGGCATGTGCCCTGACTAAAAACCAAACTGTAACCTCCTGGTTCATAGGCCAAGAAGCTCAACCACTGAGCCACACCAGTCAGGCAAAAATAAAGTTATTTTTTAATAATCCCAATACTACTCATAATATTTCTAATAAGAGCTGATATTAATTAAGTATACACTCTTTGCCAGGCATGGTTCCAAATATTCTGGAAGTATCTCGCATAATCTTCTCAACATCTTCATGAGACAGTTACAAGTATCTTCCTTATATGATAAAAATAAATTTCATAAAGCTTTGCATGAAAGAACTATAACAACAAAGAAAAAAAGATATCTTCAACTGCTTCAATTGCAAAAAATAAAAAACTACATTTTAATTCTTAAAAGTGAAGGAGAATAAAAACTACCAAAAAATTTTTAACTTTAACTTTAGGCTTAACATCAGAACAAGGTTTTCTTAATTCATCATTTCATTGTTTTATAGTAAACTAGAGGCCTGGTGCATGAAAATTCATGCACTGGAAGGGCAGGGGTCCATCAGCCTGGCCTGCCCCCTCTCACAGTCCAAGAGCCCTCAGGGGCAAGAGGTAACACAGTGATCAGGAGAAGGCGATGCCCCCATCACACTGCTGCTGCTGCCACTGCCAGCAGCGCAAACCTCGGCCGGCCCTGGTTACCTGAGCCTCAGGGGGCCCTGGGCAGCTGGGCAGCTACTATTCGAGGCTTGCCTGTGCTTCGGGCCGGTTCTGGGCTTGCCTCTTCAGTCTTCTCCACATGGCAGCAGGACAGTGGGCATTTTAAAGCAATATCCTAACCCACGAAAAATTATTCCAGTGACAGTTATGTAAGATAGAAACTCTTTACTATTTTTGCAAATTTTCTTGGTCAAATATTATTTCAAAATAAAAGTATTGTGGGTTGGTTTTGTTTTGTTTTTTAAAACTTTAATAGTTTTCCATCGTACTCACAATAAAACACAAAGTCCTTACAAGAAAAAAAAAAAATCTAAAGAGGCCCCTTGCCTTTCTCTAACACCTAATCTCCTTTCATGATCCTACAGGCTCACTCCATACTGGTCTTCCTTCAGTTTTCATCAAATTCACCAAGCTTGGACCCACCCCAGAGCCTTTGCACTTGCTCTTTCTCACATCTGGTATGCTCTTTTCTACTCACACAGCATGCTCCTTCACTTCACTTCACTTCAGAGAAGCCATTGTTAAGCACTCTTTTCTAGGAGTACTCTTATCTAAAATAATTTCCACACTCATTACCCTCTAACTCCTTATCCTGCTTCCTATTTCTTCCTTTCACTTCTCTCCAAATAAAAATATTTATTCATTTTAGCCTTTTGTTGTCCAACATTCCAACTTGAATTTAAATTCCATGGGGGCAAGGAAGTTTCTATTACTTCCTGCTGTATTTCCAGCATCTAGAATACTGGCATACAGTGATGCAGTATAAATAAATAAAACCATAAATGATCAATTTCTCAACATAAAACTCAGGAATCAATTTCTTATCTGTACTGCTGATTATAAATGAATGCAATAAAGGTATCAAATGTCTCAAATGAATTTATGTATCCTAACACAAAGTAGTAATTTAATCCCTTAAAAAATCCCAAAAAGTTGGGCAAAATATTTTATTTTGTTCTTCTAAGATAGAAAAGTATGAAAGAAAGAAATGAAAACTATCTACAAAGAATGACATATCTATCTATCTATCTATCTATATGAAAGCCTAAGTGACTGTTACAACCAAACAACCGGTCGACCAG